GGATTCGATGCGAAAGTATTACAAAACGTACAAAAGATCAAGGAATTGTGCCTTACTAAGAGCTACGTTTACTTTTTTTCCTTTTTAAAAAAAAAATAATTGCATCTACTATACAACGTAATTTACAACGTATGTCATTAAATATTGCACCTGTTGTCTCGTTCAACGAGACGCTCGACTGTCTCCGTAAATTCCAGACTGTGTCTCGTGCGGTTTGAAGTTTGAAGAGGCGGATCAACGTTACAAGTGTAAGCTGTGTATAAGTTTTTGATGATATAACTGCGCTCGCCCCAGTTGTCACACCGTAAAATATATTATACATAAATTGATATCGATATCGTTTCTACTCGTGATGCATGCGCCGTCACGATATCTCAGTCGGTAGAGCGATCGCTGCATGATCGGAAGGACTCGACCGCGACTGATCTAAGTCGATAAAAAATAGGTAGCAGCTGTTCCTTCGCAAGGCTCTCGGCACTTTGAAGTGAAAGTTACGGGTTCTTTGGATGAGACCTTAAAAACCCGGGCCCCTTGTCACGACAGGCGTTGGCGCGATAAAGATCCCTCACTGTTCAATGGCCCTAGGTGCCGAGTAAAGGTCAAAATTTGAAGCCCTTCGCCATTATATGGTGAAATCTCTATATGAGTGAAAAATTCTCGAATGGGACGTAAAACAAAATGCAATTAATCAGTCTGATGCATGTAGAGTCTATAACAATGCAGTGTCTCATTTGCATGTTTATTGGGCATTTTCTCATCGATATTCAACATTTTGTTTACATGCTGTTATGATTGTCCCAGAAATCCCGCGAGATTTGTACATTTTCTGACTTTTTCATAAAAGAGAGCACTAAGAACTATAATTCTTTCATAGTGGAAATGGAAAGTATTGTTAGTCAACGTTACGTGTAATATACGTGATGTATATACAATATATGTGACAACAGACACATCAAAGTTAAAGATGAGTCTTAACACACAATAAAAATCAACACATTTGTACATGTATTTTTTTGTATGGTTATGTATGTTATATGAATAGATTTCTTATCTGCTGCGATTCTATTGGCCAAGTTTTTTTTTCAAGAGATAATGCAAAAAAGTTGATAAAAGTTAGCTATTGATTCTGGCACAATCAATCAGGATCACTGCTAAGGTAAGAGCGCCGAATAGGACCCGCTGTTATCAATACTTATGCGTAAGGTTAATTAAGAAATGAAATTTTCTTTCTTTCTTTCTGTCTCTCTCTTTTTGTAGGCCGAACTTTTTTTACTTAAGAAAAAAAATATGATGCTCAGAAAACAGGAAATACCCCCGAACACTTAATTTATTATACTTTTCGTTCTAATCACTGCACGTATTAATAAGAGTGCTATTTCTGAGACTGAATGAAAAAGAATGGAGCTAAACAATATACGGGTATTGCAAGGAACAAATTATTTGATCTACACAATGTATGTTAAATCTAAAAAGTAACATACAATATTCATTTTAAGCATATTGAGCACATTCGTTGGGACACAAATCTAACTAAATGTATTAATTTATAATGTAGATTAGTTAAAAATCTATATTGCTTACGATATGACGCCAAAATATTAAGAGATTATATCTAGAATGATCCCCGAAAGAGCAATTAACTTTTGGGGGAAATATCGAAAAGTACTTGCCCTTATTTTAATCACCGCTTTCGACCTTGACAATTTCTCCTGCCAAAATCCGTTCGTTAATTTAAAGAGGAAAAAAAAGAAAAGAAATAATATTGTGAATTTGATAGCGAATAACACATGTCCATTGAACAAAACTTCTAAGTAGACACAACAGAATTTGTGATAAGTTATAGAATAATAAAAGAAAATGATTGAATTTTTCAAATTCCTGCTAAGGTGTACAAACAAACAATCAAACAACAGCAAAGAATTAAATCGACAGTGACTTTGCCACAAAACACATTTTTGCACCTGAGGGCCTTTTTTGTCAATTGATACTCCATGCATTTTTAATTGATTTGTATGTCTAAATAGCTGTTTAGACTGAAAAATCTCATTTAATTTTTAAGGTGTTTTTTTTAATTAAGAATTTTGACTTAGATTTATCTATTCAAGATATTATTTCATGTAATCATCTTTGATATTTTACAGATTAGACAATCACAAGAATAACTAATAAAATAAAAGTTCACCATGTTTAATTATATAAATATTGCATGTAGTTGATGATCGATAGAATTGAACTTTTTAACCCCCCCCCTCTAAAAAAACCTTTGTGAACCGGGGCGCAACCGAGGTTGACAAAGATCTTCGAGGGGTGAAACTTTTCAATGTTACCCTCAACTGCATGCAGTATGTCTTATATTATACTGAATGTTTTAAATGTAAACCGAGCGCGCATAGATGCCGCGTATTCAAATGTTTTTAGAAATATCACCCGTCGTCAAGAAATGTTGATTGTTTCTAAGTTTTATCGCGCTGGAAGGCATGGTTCCATCATTCAGAGGCTAACAGTGTTTTTACCAAATGTTTCTCAACGATTCAAATTCAAGTTATTCACTTGAAGGTATAATATGAAAGAATGTCAACGGTTTATCTAAAAAATTAATGAAATTGCACGAAATTAAGATTTTTTTTACAATGTCAGACAAAACAACATGTAATGCCCCCACCCTCTCAAAATTCCCTAAGTATCTAGGTTTCAGGAATGATCCACCTTAGTCACTACTGAACGTTGTTATTTTTCATTTTCATGGAAAAAATCACGTGGCTTGATAATATGACAAATTTATCATTGGACTTCTTTAGAATGTATTTTGTCATGAATTGAATTGCCCGTTTTAAAAAAATTAAAAAAAAGTTTAAAAAATTCAAATTCAACACATATTTTTGTTTGTTTTGTTTTTAACCGGTCAAGGTAGCCTAGGGGTAGGGCATTCGCTTCGTGATTGGGAGGCCCGGGTTCGATTCTCGTTCTCCACGACACGTCAAACCTAAGACGTAAACATACATGTAGGTAGTGACTGTTGCTTCGCCAAGTGACCGGCATTGGAACTGAAAGTCAAGGATCTTTCGGATGAGACCTTAAAAACCGAGGTCCCGTATCACGGTAGGCACTGGCACGATAAAGAACCCTTACTCAGTTACTGTTACGAATTGGTCGGCTGGACAGACTTTACAAAGTTACGCAAATAGAAAAAAAAATTAAATTTACGTTGAAATGTCTTGTGAAATTGTAATATTTAAGTCCATAATAATAGTTATAATAAATAAATAAATAAATAAATAATTTACACTCCATTAGAGGATCGAATAACAACAGAAGTTTATTTAAAAACGTGATTACTTCAACTTTTCTATCGTCAACCTCCCTAGGCCTTATTTACTAAAACAATACACCATTATCACCTGCATATGAAGTGTATTTATCCCAGTTGATTAGATAGGCAAGAGCATGCTCTATATACGAACAATTTTTATAATGAGGCTAGCTTTTCACAAATAAATTCACAAAACAATAATATAAACTGCCTCGTTTAAAGCCAACATTTCGCCAATTCTATTGTCGATACAATGACCTTGTAAGCGAATACAATCTATCATTATGTCGACTGTGATGTATTTTCGTACAAAATTTAGGCCATTATTTTCACTCTGAATTGTCTACAGATTTTTCCGTTTGTCCGATCAGGACAAAGAGCACACGACGGGTGTGACCGGTCGACAGGGGATGCTAACTCCTCCATGGCACATGATCCCACCTCTAATGTCATTAGAAGTCCGTGTTTGCTCTGCTCCAAATTTGTATTGTTTCAATGGACTTTTGAGGTCGATTACTATTCGTAATCTTCATATTTCATCGAACCAAAAACTTCTCTATTCCCGAGTGTTGTGGACAGATTGCGTATACTACTGAGCTTCATGTATCATCGCTTTACAAAGAATAAGAGAATATAGATTTTAAAACGACAATGAAGCACCGCATTTACACAATCGGATTTTTTTTGGAAAAAAAATCATTTTTTATGGTCTCTAGGTCCCCCCCCCCTTTTTTTTTTATACAAATGTTTGCTATTTTCTTAAATATACATACACACAAATAACGTTTGAAAATCGAATAGAGATGACCCAAAGATAGAAATTATTAAGAAAAAAGCTAAAAAATGGAATTACATTCTGTACCAAATGACTTACCGAGCCGTAATTCAAATTATTTTTAGGAAATTAAACAACAATATCAAGAAAAAAAATTCCTTTCCAAGTTTCACAAGAACCAGACACATCAAAATAATGCTAAAATTTCATGCGTCAGATCGACGAAATTTTACTTTACAAGTGTGCCCAGATTCCTGCCGAATGCTAATCAAATGCATCCTCATTCTTCAAAGCCCTTCACCGGCATTTGGTGACGTCTTTATATGTGAGTGAAAAAATCTCAAATGGGACGTGATCCTTACGTCGCGGGTTCGAATCCCACTGTGGGACGTGCAGACCGGTCCTTCGGATGAGACCGTATAAACCGAGGTCCCGTGTCGCAGTAGGTGTTGGCACGAAAAAGATCCCTCACTGCTCAATGGCCTTAAGTGCCGAGTATAGGACAAAATTTGCAGCTCTCCATCGGCAAGTGGTGGCGTCTCCATATGAGTGAAAAATTCTCGAGAGGGACGTTAAACAACATACAAACAAACAAATCAAATGGGACGTTAAACAACATACATGTACATGTACGATCAATCAAATTTTTGTTTTGCAAATGAAATAACTATCATGTGACTACTAAAAGGCTTTGTTCAATGTATACCACCTCTACTTTGTAAAAAACAGATAAATACATCGATCTGTAATTTTCAATCCTTTAAGACAATTTACACTGATGGTCAAAGAACAAACATTTAAACTACATGTATTAAATGTAATTTTTATTTAATATTTTTTCAGTGTTTTACAGATGACAGTTTCTTCTGAGAGTACGATGTAAACTAGGTTCAAATAAATCTCTTAACTGGGAATATGTCAACATCTACTGTATTTGTCGTTCTGGTTTGTTTTGCAAGTACTGGCATAAAATATATTGAGGGACAGAAATTTTCTGTTTCTACTACACCAGAAGCAAGAGTGACCGCAAATGTTTCTCGTAAGTTACTTTCATGCATACTTTATTCTTCGCTATTTTTTAAACATCCCCAGGCTACATATATGTGCATTCAAAAATGCTTTCCACGTTCCTGTATATATAGCATGTGTGCTTATATATATTCGCACAGTATGTGAAATTAGTAAACTCTCCAATAAGCCAAGATGTGTATCTGTATATTTTAGTTTGTCCCTTAATTGTTCTTTCACCGGGAACTCTTGGACCAGATTTCGGTAAAAAAGCCGAGTTTTCAGCGTTTGTGGAGGCAAAACTGGATCCCGCGCTTGACGCTAAATGGCAAAAAATCAAGAATGGCGTTGCTGAAGATATCAATAGATATGAATCAAAATATTATGAGACCCAACTTCTACCTTCTCCGAAACTTGTCATTAACAAAGTGGACTTTGATGACGTTGGATATTACCAGCTACAAGTCAAGATCACAGGAGGCTGGTGTGTGAGCAGCAGAGTTCACATAGAGAAAGTCTGGGGAAGTAAGTATTTCGTTAGGAGAGAGTTTGTTTTGATATTATGTTTTCATATCTGATACTTTTTAAATAATAAAGAATTGGTAAGTATTCATTAAAAGGGCATTTTATTAAAAATAAATCATTCGTTTTCACTATTTCTTATAAGTATGTGTATGCAAGGTGTATGATCCATCTAAATTATTTTGAAACTTGCAAAGTCTGATGCACAAATCTTCTAAATAATGATATTACGTCGTTATTTTAATTGAGTGTATATTTATTTCAGTTTTGCAGTATAATAATGCATGTGATTACACTCGTGAATGTGATGAGAGGTTGTACTTGGAATGTTCAAACAACATTAAAAAGTGTCTCTGCTACGACAGCTACTACCATCGTAATCAAACATGCTATGGTAGTAAGTATTCATTTAACAAAGATTACTTTTGTACTAATTAATCTTTTGCATATTACATTGCAGAAATATAATTAAAAACTCGAAACATTGCTATTGCAAGCTGTTGCATATGTCATTACCGTCTTCCTTGGAAGACGATATACAGAGTTGAAGTATTTTACAGTCTTCGGACTATGCACTTCCTCTCTTTTGTGATTGGTAGAAATTGCATGATGAGAAAATTTTCAATTATTTCATTGGTTGAAATGCTGTTCAAGGCAAGGGAGATAATTTTCTGATGATCTAATTTTCGTACGACTTAACAATTTTTCAAGATTTTCAATCGTAAAAAAATATGACAAAACGAACAGTAGAAATCGGCACTAATTAATTCGATTTAACGTGCTAGTTTTTTTTTATAGCAATTACCAAAAAACGTTTCTATATTTTCATTGTTAACAGAATCTTTATTGCATGCAAGCTTTACAGCTTGTGTGTATTCTTTTTCCCTTTGTTTTGCACTCTTTCTAATCTCGGCAGCACTCGGCAACACCTCGATCCGTTCCTAGTCTTGCCCCATGATCCCTTGCACTTCGTTATTGGGGTCATGTAACGGCTGTATCCATGTTTAATGGCGGCGTCCATGACGCATCTGAACGTGCGAAATTCATAGCCTGTGGAAAAAATTGGAATACCATCGAATAAACAATTTTTCACGTAAACTGCGTGTACGTATTGATTTTTCCGGTTTCTGGCTGTCTTTTTCTGTGTGTAGTAGGACGTGACAAGCCTTTGTTACTTAAATTACTTAGAAATAAATATGTAAACAAGTTTTGCTCTACATTTCGTAACAGCTCAAACAAATATTTAGAGGCGTAGCTTAGTTTTTCTTTCACCATGTAAAGATGTACTTTTGGATGCTTTTTAAATTTTCAGTGCCCAAATTTCCAAGACATTTCGATATAATATATTTTGAGGCTACACTACGTTCGAATTTTCTCCAACATGTTGTTGCTCGCGTGTATCGACATATATCTGACAGATGCAATGTACACACACACACTTACCATGCTTGCAGAAATACTCTATGTGTGTAATGGAGGGGGTTGAGGTAGTATTATTAGCCTGGTTGTCTTTTTAGTTCTTTGGGACATTAACCAGTTGTTAACATTAACTAATTAATACGAGATAGAGATATGATCATGTTTGGCCTTTTTCTGACAAAAGAATTATACTTTGGACACCCTGGGGATCTTTTGAGTTCTTCTCAATACAAGTTGCAGGCAGCAAGAAATGTTCAAGGCACTTTCATTGTTGTAGATGAAACCCATTGTGTTTTTGATCGCAAATTAATCACAAGTTGTGTTCATACTTTGAGAAAGCCTTTAGCAAGTAGGAGGACAGTGTTTTGAATGCCTGCAGATGTGTATAACCCATCCAACCACCCCCATTTTATTCATACATTTAAGAGAGCTACACACTGTAAAATACATTGTCGCCCGCGTGGCGCAGGGGTTAGAGCGTTTGTTCTAGAGTCGTGAAGTAAGGAGTTGATCCTTACATCGCGGGTTCGAATCCCACTGCGGGAGGTGGAGACCGGTCCTTCGGATGAGACTGTATAAACCGAGGTCCCGTGTAGCGGTAGGTGCTGGCACAAAAAGATCCCTCACTGCTCAATGGCCCTACATGAGTGCCGAGTATAGGTCCAATATTTGCAGCCCTCCACCAGCAAGTGGTGGCATCTCCATATGAGTGAAAAATTCTCAAGAGGGATGTTAAACAACAACCAAACAAATACACTGTAAAATATAAACTCACATTTGTATGGCTGGAGTTGGAAAGGCTGCTCATTCCTTCTATTATTCTGAACACATATGATTTTTCCCTTGCCATTTCATGTTCAGCATCCAAAAGAGGTTCATTATTTTAGAACTGAACCTTCTATTTTATTTCCAAAATTCTAATTTAAAACAATTAAATTAAAGAAACAAAATGCCACAGCAGAAAATTTGCTTTATTTTGAACACTATTGTGACTTTTAAGATTTGTCTAATATAGTTTAGCTAAATCAAGCAATGGTGAATAGCATATAGCCAGTTTTGGTTCTCCAATACTGTTCATTTTGTAATTAGAAATAGGGGGTGGCCAAAGACAAGTTAAATGATTGGACACTGGTCCTAGCTGGCCCACTTTCTAATATGGAAGGTTTGAATGCAACTGCTTCTTTGCAATCCTTATTATATTCATTTTTAAAATGAAAAAAAAAACCCATACAGATTTAATACTTTATTACAGCTTATAGACAAGTTATAGATAAAGCTGCAACACCATTCTTCTTTATGTGTCCTTACAGTAGTGACCAGTGATGACCTGGAGTAAATAGAAGGAATTCAGTGTAAATACTCCTGATTTTAATTAATAAAATAAAATACATATGTTTTGAATCTCTTATCAAAACATATTACTTTTCATCCTGTAGATGATCTCAACATGATATCTTTATAATTCAGTGTCCATGTTGATGTTTACAACCCGATAATTTACAATTAACACTCTAAGCATTTTATCGCTAATAATGCTTTAAAAAAAAAAATGAGAGAAATTAATAACATCTTCAAACCAGAAAAGAGAACAAGTGCCAAAATGAAAATGCATGTAAAACTGAAACAAAAATAAAGCTCTAATATTGTGTAAAAAACAAGATGTGTTTGTGAAACACTATGCACCCGGCGGCAACAAAGTTCGAAAAAAGCTATTTTTAGCATATAGGTCACAGTCAAGGTCACAAGGTCATTGACCTTGGTGTCATTTAAAAGAGCTTAAATAGTGGAGTAAGCATACCCAATATGAAGTCTCTATCTCTCATGGTTCAAAAGTTATGGTGAAGGTTAAAGTTGACAACAGACAGACAGGACATAAACAATATGCGCCCCCGATCTATCGATCCGGGCGCATAAAAAAAAATTGAAATGCAAGGTAAAGTACATGTATTTTATAACAACACAAATGTACGTAATTTTCTCATATATTAAGGATTACTTTAACATATTTGAAAAAGGATATCAAAATAAAACAAACATAGTTGCACTGAAATTCATCATTTATATGCACATACCAGTATAAAAATCTTTATTAAGATTCCAGTTACAGGTGATCCACAGGGTTCATAAAGTTTTCGAGCAGAATCATTCCAAAATACATTGGCTCCAGTTTATGGCACTTCTTTGGCTTCAGGAATGAATATCTTCAGAAAGCATATTTTTCAGACTTTAATCCTATTACATAAAAAAAAGTAATGTCATCTTTTATGTAGTATGACACTATGTATTCCATTTTATGCTATAGACAGGTATTTAATTTCTGAGTTTTAATTTATCTAAAAGTACAACAATAAGAGATAAAAAGAGTGCCTGAAAAATGTTTTATTAGGGGTTGCAGTGGATTTGGGGGAACTCAGACTTGGTTCTTCTTATCAGTTATGGGGGTCTACATGCATTTTTTTCCTGAGAGAGAGAGAGATCGAGATCGAGATCCTTTTCTGTTAATAATGCAATTCACGAATTCAGCTACAAGTATTTTCATATGAACAGAAACAGCTGAGAAAGGCAAGAATGCCTCAAATATTTGTTATAAATGCCGATTGATTTAATCAGATTTTTGCTTGTTAACTTAAATGACATAATAAATTATCTGTGAATATAAAATAATGTTAATAAAATTCGCTGCATGTATGTGTACTTTGGAACTGCCTAAAATAGGTCAATACAAGCGAGCAACGACATGTTGGAGAAAATTCGAACGTAGTGTGGCCCCAAAATGATTTATTTCGAAATGTCTTGGAAATTTGGGCACTGAAAATTTAAAAAGCATCCTAAAGTACTTCTTTACATGATAAAAGGAAAACTAAGCTACGCCTCTAAACACTTGTTTGAACTGTTACGAAATGTAGAGCAAAACTTGTTTACATTTTTATTTTTAAGTAATTTAAGTAACTAAAGCTTGTCACGTCCTAATAAACTCAGAAAAAGACAACCAGAGACCGGGAAAATCAATACTTACAAGCAGTTTATGTGAAAAATTGTGTATTCGATGGCTTTCCATTTTTTTTCCACAAGCTACGAATTTCGCACGTTTAGGTGCGTCATGGGCCCCGCCATTAAACATGGATACAGCCGTTACATGACCCCAATAACGAAGTGCAAGGGATCATGGGACAAGACTAATCCGTTCCTCACCTACATATCACAAAGGTGACAGAATCAGCCGAGGTTTGCCGAATGATCGCAGCAGCAGAGTCGAAGTTTACGGAGACAGCCGAGCATCTGTTAACGTTTCATTTGGTAGAGCTTACTAATGAAGAAACATAGGCGTCGGAAGCAAATTGAAAGTGGGGTGGCTAATTGAAAGGGGGGGGGGCTAAACCAACGAAAAAAAGGTAAGCCCAATTTTCAATGCCTATATTATGTCTATCTTTGCAAAAAAAGTGGGGGGGGGGGGCTTTAGCCCCCCTTCTAGCCCTCCCCCGGTTCCGACGCCTATGAGAAATACAAAGCCAAGAAATTTTCAAGAACTATACGGCCTGATAGGTTTAGGTCAATTTAATGTTTAAGGTTGTTGCTAAAGACGGTGAGCTTTTTGAAAAAGCTCTACTTGGACCAAACTATCCTCATAGGTGCAATATTTTGGAGTCGAAGTCAGAGTAAACAACTAAACAGGCACGGATCCAGAATTTTTTCCGGGAAGGAGGGGGGGGGGGGCAGTCCAAGAAAAATCTAGCCTTGAAAGAATGGAGGCGTAGAAGGCGAGGGCACCTTGTATGGTGGACTTCTTGAAGGGTAGATTACATTAAAATATGTATGAATATATTGTTCTCATTTCCGAAAGGAAAAGAAATCAAAAATGTAAAACCACTGGGTCAGTGCATTACGTCGGCGAAAAAATATTATCCCTTATCTAAAGGAAGTCCGAGAGTTATTTGAGAGAAAAAAAATGACGGAAAAAAACTGCGAGGTTTAGTCACGCACGTGTAATCTGCATCCTCGACACTTCTGATTTGATCAAAAAACTATTGTTGGCTATTTAAACGGACATTTAACGATAAATATAAGATATTATCTGCAGATTTAAATTTTTGCACCGCTAATTCTTTCCCTCTTTTTAGTACATGTATATTAATCTACAATCTGTTTTTTTCTACTCGAAAAGACTATAGTTTCAATACATATGTAACCAGATCAGATAAATAATAAACATAAAAGATGAATTTTGAAAATCCATGAGGTACTAGAAATCAACGTTTCAGGCCTATTGATTTTATCATGAAGCATAATTAGAAGTCATATTGGGCGTATTTTTGATAAATTCAGACTAACTAAAATTAAAAAAAGATCTTTCTATTTGTTTTATTACTTTATATAAAGATAGAACTTTTCTGAAAATTACACAATTTAAATCAATTCCGTTTCATAGATATTAGAAATTTAAAGCAACCAATTTATTTACCGACTCCGCATTTAAACACCCAATTTTACATTAACGCCCCCAAAATTTACCTAATTCGAGATCAACAATATACCGTCTGATTTATTTTTCTTAATCTCCATTGTTGTTGGTACTTGTAAGCGATATGAGGTCCAAGACACTCCACTGACTGTAGAACTTTCCGAAGAAAAACTATAGCGGATATTCGAGGTTTTGTTTAAAATTGCAATTTGGAAGCGTCGTTCTATTTTTAGCAAAAGTTGTTATTCAAGACAAACAGATTATAGAATAGAAATCAATCTACACCATTCGGTGGAAGAATGTCACAATCTTTTTTCGAATTTCCTCTAACGTATATATTCGTATATTGAAAAGGGTGAAGATAACGCATGACCGTAGGAACCGGGAGGGGGGAGGCGTGCCCCCAATAATTTTTCCGATATATAAATTACTATAGAAAACATAGAGCTATGTGTTTGTGCCCCCTCAATAATAACGTCTGATGACCTTTTTTTTCTTTTGCTTGTCAAGGAATTTTGGAAGTTGATAGTGCCTCCTCAACTAGAAAATGTATGGTTGTGCCCCCTCAAAGTGAAATTGCTTCCTACGGGCCTGTAACGAACAGTGATCGATCTTTAAAAAAAAATCTATAAGCAATACAAATCTGTGAACACGAACCCCGGAAATTGCAGTGGTGAATACTTTGGACACGATTGTTGGTCAGAAAAATAAATAATATTCTGGCTATGGTACATGTCGGATTGTCCACACGATAAATGAAATCTCTTTATTTTAATTTTACACTTATTGAATGGTGATTTCTTTTACTGACGATAAAAAATATTGATATGATTGCTTTGTAGTTTTCACTCGTGATTTTATTTTTATTTTACCTTTTTTCTTAAAAAGAAGAAGATATTTCTTTATAAATTTTTTTCCTTCAAAAGATATCGATGAACCAATTTTATATTGAAATATAAAAATTATTTACAATAGTTCCTCTTAAAATTAGACGAAAACGCGTAATATTGATCCTGATTACCAAAGACAGACTCCTGTGTACTACAATGTGTATAGGGATTTTGAACATCTTGAGTACTGGGGCTCTCCAGGTAAATAACACCAGTACTACCAAGACCATTCCCCCTCCTCATGTAACCGTACGGTAAAAAAAAAAATTGGGTCTTTAAATATCAGACACAGTTTAAGGTCTTGGGGTTATTCAAGTTCAAAATCGGTGAAAATTTAAATTTGAACGTAAATAACAAATATCATATTCATCTACACTCAATCTCGTATTTTTATTTCTTAGCTCAGATACACCATATATAGCTTTGAAATTTATATACATAATTCAGCGTATACATGTATATACAAAACAAGTGTTTTCGTTGTAGAGTGGAACCTTCAAGCAACACAACTTAACCACAATATCACAGAATCCGAGATCAATGTGTGGTGGAAAGATCCTTCGAGTGACTCAGATCTGATACAGTTCTACAGTGTGACCATCATAGAAAATTCTGGATCAGTTAAAGTTAATGCCTCCGTGGGAAAACATACAAATTATAATTTCAAGTCTGTTTTCCTTCCCGGTCATCGATATATCTTTACCATTACATCAACTGTACAACTGACCAATCCAATGGAAACTATCCATGTTCAAACAAATCAGGATGTGGTTGTAGGTAAGTTTATTATTTCACTTAGGACTAATAAACCCTTTTCATTATTTTTGAACAGGCACATGTAGCATGTTGTTTGTTTATTGTTTAACGTCCCTCTCGAGGATTTTTCACTCATATGGAGACGCCACCACTTGCCGGTGGAGAGCTGCAAATTTTGACCTATACTCGGCACTTAAGGCCATTGAGTAGTGAGGGATCTTTTTCGTGCCAGCACCTACTGCGACGCGGGACTTCGGTTTATACGGTCTCATCCGAAGGACCGGTCTCCACGTCCCACAGTGGGATTCGAACACGCGACGTAAGAATCAACTCCTTACTCTGCGACTCTAGAGCGAACGCTCTAACCACTGCGCCACACTGGCGACTTTTTAAACTATTTACAAAACGAGCAATTTGCATTCTATCTAGATACGAATTGTGAAATCGTCAATGTTCCTGGATTTCGTAGGTCGCCCTAATGTACTAATTTACAAACCTTATGTTAAGCAATAGCTAAGCTTGTCGATGGGCAAACAAGGCGAGAGCAGTGCCTATAGTGCAACAAACATGAAGGTGAAAAGTTAAATCTTAATTATAACAAAATTTTCTTTGATATTTTATCTAAAATTAAAGTGTATTTGTAAAATCTCCATAATTTGCAAAAATCTCACTAAGATTGAAATTATTTACCTATATATAGCATACACACACTAGAGGGGGCAAAAAGGATCATTTTCTCATGCTATAACACAATTTTTTGATATGAGTGGGTCTTCCCCTCCATGTTTTTTTTTTAAAGTTTATCCTCAAAGTTTGCGAAAAAAATATACATTTTTTGGTCAACAAAAACATGGATCAAAGACCCACTTATACCTTAAAAATACACTTTTATGACAAAACATTCCCATCTTTCCGAAAAGTCCATTTAGTCAAGGGTCATATCACAAGCATTATTTAAATCCCGCAATTCATCAAGAGCTGTGTAGCATAGTGGTTAGCGTGCTAGTCTCGAATAAAAGATAAAAAAGCGTGCTAGTCTCAAAGTCAAACGATACTCAGGATTTTTACTGCTAGGGTTCGAACCCCACGAGCATCGCATAAATATGTTTTTAATAACAGAATAATTTTTGCCGAGAAAATTTTCCTCAGAAAAGTTTTGTTCATCATAATTTCATAAATTTCAATAATAAGAACGTTACTCTTAATACAAACTAATTATGATCTTTATATATCTGAAGCAATAGGCATTCTGCACGCCATGTTCACCCATCTCCTTTCTGTGTATACATACTGAAAATCACGACCCTTGGGTTCATGGTTCAGGTCCCAGGCAGGGATGGGGTAATCGTAATCGAGTAATCGTAATCGATTGTAATGATTACCTTTTTTCAAGTAATCGACAGTAATCTGTAATCGAAGAGATTTTCGATTACTTGAAATCGTAATTTAATCGATTACAGTTAAAATTTTCAATGTAATTATAATTACTTTTTCGATTACTTTCAATTATTTTATACATAAATGGATGTTATTTTGGAGATATATTTCCAGTCAGTTACACATAAATATCAAATATAAACCACCTAGTGTAATGTTTGGATTTCCTAACTTTTATTATCAGAAGTTTGATAATGTTCTCAATAAAATTTGCATTATAGACCTACTGGTCTAGTATTAAATAATTCAGAAGTGTACTTCAACCATTTATTGATAAAATATAGATTTTTCGTGTGCATTTTACATTTGACCCACTGTCCTCTTGCTGCATGTCCTTTTTCATATTTCAGATGTTGAAAAACTTTATCTTGTAATAGAAAATTATAAATAGCAAAAACAATTTTAAGTTCTGTATTAAATATAAATAATTTGGTAAATAAACTACATTGTACTCGAAAAAAAAAAGATGGAAATACTTATTCATATCTGAGAATGTTGAAACAACTTCAGACTTGTGTTTTAGTAAGTTTAAAATTTGCAAAATCATTCTAATGTTTTCATTCAAAGTTGTAAGGTTGCTTTTATATCAGTGAGAAGTTATAAGTGTCTGTAAGAGAGGGAGTGTGTCACTGTTCGCTTATCTTAATTGGCTAATTAATTGACTGAGACATCCCTGATTGCAGATAATGAGGTGTAAACTGTGAACTACCCAATGTTTAACTTTCATTCCATTGAAGACAAACAATATTATTAAAATTAATAACTCTCAAAACACTTATTTCAATGCAGAATGAAATTGTGCTATTAGTTAAATTACGTAAAGACACATTTAATTTACATGTTTATTTCTTAGAGTTAGATCTAATTTACTTATTTTTTTTTTAAATGACACGTACAGGAGTGTTTAATGTGTACTGTCAACATACGGGCAGCCCAAATACTTCTAATGAAGTAATTCACAATAAAATATTAAATAATTTTTGCAACAAGTCAATAAATATGGAGGTTCAGATCCAAAGTTGAAAGGAATAATTAATTCCTTGGCATATTTTATTGTAAGAATCATGTCTCCACTTTCCATGGTAGGGAATCTCAATCCCTAATTCGGGCATTAGTAAGAACATTAGCCAGAATAAAACCTTAAAAGAATCTGCACTGGAACTGCAGAAACACATTCAGACTTCAGTGGATAACATCAACATTTACCATTTAAATATTGCTTTGATATTTGAAGAGATAAAAACTTGGAAGTAATCGATTATTAATCGATTACATTTTCCAAAGTAATCAATTACAATCGATTACAGGACAAAAATGGGTGTAATCGAATAATAATCGATTACACAAAATTCCTCTAAGTAATCGATTATTAATCGATTACATTTTTCAGTAATCGTGCCCATCCCTGGTCCCAGGTTGGAGCTACATTGGTCATTTATTGAAAATTAATGTGCACTGATGCACATATTTACTGTAATATACCAAGCATTAATTCCTTCGAAAAAAATGAACGACTCGTGAGTCGACGTATTTATTGCAAATGTATTATAACTTGATAATTTATATTCAGATCAAGCAGAATTACTATAATTTAGTCCTATACTAAATTTATAAAATTCAAAATATCAAGTCTTAGCGCGAGAATGCATATACATATTGAAATGTTTTAAACTCTATAAACTTCTTTAAAACTGAAGATCAACAAAACAAACTTTAAGCTTAAGTAAAATGACCAATGTATAATTTACATCCCTTATGAGTCAGATTTGGGGGGGGGGGGGGTCAGGGGAAGAAAGGTTAACTTGGAAGATAAAAAGTCTCATTGTCAAAACATAAGAGGTCACTATAAATAAATTAAGTGACCATGCTTGTATTAATTACGCATTATTTTTTTTTTGTAATGGTAGATGTTCACGGATTTTTATGACCTTAGGGTCTCTCTAAGCAGTTATCCAAGGTTATTTGAAGATATATATATATATATATATATATATATATATATATATATATATATATATATATATATATATATATATATATATATATATTACCGTTGTTGGCAATTTATGCAGAAAATTCAGTTTGGAATTATAGGGTCGTAGTAGCATAGGTACACGCTAAATTGATTGATAAAAAAAAATTGTCAGCTTATAATTAACAGAAGCAAATTTTTGTACTATATAAAATTCACAATATCAAGTCTTAGCGCGAGCATGCATATACATAATGAAATGTTTTTTTTATAGCGATTCTCTGTAACCACTTAAACTTCTTTGCCACGCATGGTCACCGATTTTGATGAAACTTTGCCCCTTATTACAACTTGACACTAGACACATATATCATATAACATTTCGTTGCTATGTGTCTTGGTTGCCATGGTGACAGCCAGAAAAGTTGAAAAATTGAGATTTTCACCTACTTTGAATCTTTATTAAGCCTTAATAAAGACTAAGAAAAACAAACAAACCATTCTCACAAAAACATGACACCTTGTTGCCACTTATGCTATAAAGAAACTATTTAGAATTTATCTCTAAGTAAGTGGTAAACATGGGTACATTTGGAATACATTTTAGATGCTGAAAAATGCTGAAAAACGCTCAGTATTCACTAATGATAGGTGTAACATAATCAAACTCAATCAACAACTTAAGAAAAACAATAAAAAATATTTGACCTTAAGTAATCAGGTATTGGCAATATTATTCTAAAAATAACTCTCATGGTTGCCATGGTAACACAGTGTTCCCATGCAAAATCTGTTTCTATGATTTGGTTAATGCGACTATCTTAAGGAAAAACAAAAAAAATCATGACCGGCACATATACATCCTTAGGACCTTGCAACACAGACAACATAAAAAAATGGGAATAATTGTTTCTTTGCAGTGTAACCATGGAAACAACGTACTAGTTGTTTGAAGTGATATTTTTTTGCTGCTTTAGGAATTTACTTACCTTTTAATCAAGAAACATATTATTTGACTAACCTTGAATAGTACTTATCTGGTAGAACTAAAGTTGAATATCATATATTGATAAAGTTTGTTGAAAAATACAAAATTGTTGCTATGGTTACCAAGAAGAGAAAATGTTCGATTTTGTTAATTTTATGTCAATATTAAACCCTATGTGGCAGCTTTTTGCATCCAGTTAGAGATTGGGTGGTAGTCAAAATTGAAAGTCAGGTTAGTTGTTCATATATATCAATCATTAAAGTTTTTGGAATCTACATAAGAGGGTACATGTACGTATCAAAGGAAACAGAATATTTTAAAGATTTTATGCATGTTTTTTCGCCTTATTTCCATAGCAACGCTCTATTTAAAGAATTGAATTTGAATTTTTTAAAATGTGAAAATTAGGGTCACACCAACGCCTTTAAAAATTGATAAGATTAAAACACTAAGAGAGTAAATTTAAAATCCCTTCGTGGTATTAAAACCATGGCAACCATTGCCAACTTAATAGAAATATCATATTTCGTCCTTGGTATATGTTACAAGGATCTTTTGTCTATTATTTGCTTGTATTTCAACCTATAATTTTTTTTATTCTAAAGTGTATGACTTTATAAAATTAAATGAACAAAATTATTACTTTTGAATACGTTGTTTCCATAGTAACGTATGTAATAGTTGATTTACCAAACATGTTTATCATGCATTTTAGACACCAGGCCTTCAACTTTCAGAAAAAGTCATTGCCACCTGTTTGCTTTGCTGTAAACGTTAACTGTGGGACCCTGACCATGTAGAAAAATGCCATTTTTCAAACTTTAGGACATGTTGCTATGGTAACCATGACACGTAGCAACCAATTTTTGCCTGATTTGAGTTTATGGTATCAAAGACTTTTATCACAGAGAGTTTGGAGAAATTCTGAGACTATGCGTGCCACAGCTCCTATATAAAAGTTCAAGTCATTACTCTATAAACTTCTTTACCTCTGAAGATCAACAAAGCAAACTTTAGGCTTAAATAAAATGGCCAATGTGTATTTTACATCCTTTTTGGGTCTGACTTGGGGGGGGGGGGGAGAGAGTGGATTTCTCTCACTCCCTCTCAAGTCAGCAAAGACTGATAGTACAGTAATAATGTTATGAAGTGACTGTCCAGGCTTATTAACTTCAAATTCCTATTTAAATCCGTTTTTTTTAATGTTTTCAAATTTTAATTTTGTCTAAGAACCAATGCAAGAAAGAGAATGATTAAGGTTCTGCATTATGCTTGAAGGACATTTTGTACTGACCAATATCTGCCCCCTAAATCAAGATTTTGATGGAATATCTATTCTAGTCCATGTTTGGATATTTAACATAAATGTACACAGTTGCACACATTTCAATTAATTTTCAAAACGTGACTATATAAACATGTGGATAGGAATATGAATTTACAGAATATACGCGTACTTTCCTATTTGTTAGATAAAAAGTATGTTCAAAAACTTTTTTTTTCTAAATTGCTTGCAGAGCCCCTTCCTCCAGGCCCTATTGATAAAAACACCAGCAATTTTCATCCTGAAAAACTTCATTTGAAATGGGGTTTGCCAGGAAATGAAACCAGTGTTGATAGGTATGAAATAAGCATTGGTGGATACATCGACCATTCAACTTCAAATTATATAAATTGGTCCCCGAGATTGGAGCCAGGGAGAGTTTACACAGTTACAATTATCACTGAGAGTTGGCCTAGTGATACCTTTGGTAGAAACAGTCAACCCTATAAGGAGAACATAGAAACATTGCGTAAGTAAATGTTTTCAGTCAGAAATCATCGATTTCGTCTTCTAAATATAAGTTTAAATGATTTTTAAATTTATGATGTTTTACATTTATAATTGAAAAGGTTGTTAAGATATATATATATATATTTATATATACTTATATATATATATATATATATATATATATATATATATATATATATATATATATATATATATATATATATATATATATATATATATATATATAGGATGAATATAAAACCGATCAATATCTTATTATAACACAATATGACATCGTAATGATGAAATAATTCAGTAATTAATTATTTGTAATTTTGTCTTATTGTATATTAATTGTATTTTTGTCTTTTTAATACACCGAAGGTACTCCTAAGGTAATAATCGCCAATGGTAGTTCAATAACCGTTCCGTTCCTCTCGAAGCTGGAGATTATGGCTTCTATTCAGAACAATAGCAAATTCCCTGGTACTTTGGAGACGAGATGGCAAAAAAATGGAATAGATATCAACATTACAGAAACAAGATACATAGGCAGTTCTCTCGATCTCTTTAATCCCAAACTGGTCATCAATAAAGTGGATTTTGTTCATGAACATAACACTTGGTATCGATGTACTGCGAAGAATTCGGAAGGATTAGGAACAAGCACCTTTGACACATGGGTTTATGTTACGGGGAGTAAGTGACCGTGATATACATATATAGAATAGAATAGAATAGAATAGGATTTATTACCAAATCAGGGCCCAATGGGCATAAACATATAACATGTATAATTACAGATAAGATAACAGACAGAACACAACATATAATCATTATTTTTATAAGGAATATCAACTTGACTCTCATTTTAACATTGAAAACCGTCTCTTACAAAAATGTGATCATAAATTAATGCTATTTCAAATTTCAGTCCACTATAATCGTATATATATAATATATTTAGATCACCTTAGCCCAAGATAAATGTGGGCATTTGTATGTTGTATGATATCGAAGTATGTTGTATGATCTCCAATGGGGGGGGGGGGGGGGTGTTTGTAGATTTTTTGAGATTGATTACTTAATTTTCGTTATCTTTACCCTTTTCATATATAGAAAAAAAAATCATATTTTTTAAAACTCTCCGATACCACATGACTAACTTTATTTACTTTTGGCAGAAAGTTTTCTTCGGTAAAGGGATACAATTTTAAAGGGATACACTTCTATTTCAATGAAGGGTCCTGCTCTTTCTCAAAGGGAGATACATGTAATAAATCCTGCTAAAAACAGGATTCGGCTATTAAGAAAAAAAAAATCTCCAGAACCAAATTAGTGTATATTAAAATTTGTTACTTGGATCTTTAAAAAAAACAACCAACCAAACAAACAAAACAACCCCCCCCCCTTCCCCCCCCCCCCCCCACACACACACACGGCGAAGTCATATAATCAAATAATACGCAAGCATCCTCATCCTCGATGTGAAAATTAAAAAAATAATCTTACTTATGTTCATCTTAATAAAAATAAATGAATTATATTACAGGTCTTAATTTTTCTGAAACTTGCAAGGAATCTCGAGAATGCCTTCCAAGTAGATATTTGACCTGTCGAAACATGAAGTGTTTTTGTGAATCATACCGTTATCACAAAAACAGAGTTTGCTATGATAGTGAGTAAATGATAACAATTTTTTTAAAATCTGAAACATTTTAATCAAAAGTTGTTATGCTATTATATATTTTTTTTCATTTTAAGGGTTACATTTTCATTGAAAGTTCCTTGTAAATATTTGTATATTTTACATGCAATAGGAGATTATCTACAAGCACAATATGTTGATGTACAAAGTTCTACATGCGCTATTACGATTAAATGGAAACCTCCATATCAGGACAAACACCTTTTATCGGGTTATGAGGTTGTCTTACCAGAAGTAGTTTCTGTTGGAAATGCAACGGAATATAAAACGCCGTGCAAATTTCAACCAGGTCGATTGTGCAACGTGCGAATTCGATCTAAAATTATATTAAGTGATCCAAAAGAGAATATCAGCGTAGATTCACCTTATCATCGCACCATACTAGGTACAGTGTATTTCCAGAAAATGTAGTGTTTAAAAATTTACGAGATTTCAAATATAATATCCTATTAAAGTTCTTTATAACTTTTCATTTATAATCATTTCTGTAGAGCCACTGAAACCCGGACCAATTCTACGTGATTTGAGTAATTTTTCTGCTGACAACCTTTATCTTAGATGGGAGGAATCTGGTAAAAACAGTTTTGTAAACCGCTACAAAGTCAGAATAGGGAAGCGAGAGCAGTTAACGAAAGGCAGTGTACCAGAGATTTATTGGAAAGAACTCTTGCTACCCGTCACTCTGTATAACGTAACCATTACAGCAATAAGTTATGGGACCATAACTAATTATCCTTCTTACGGATCAAGGGAGAGTCTCCCTTCTCTCTACTGGATAGAAACTTCTGAAAGTGAGAAAAATGTTTTGTTTATTGAATTTCATTGTCAGTTTTCTAAAACATATTTTTTCTACATTAATTTTATTTTGTATTGAAGTTGAAATTATTTTCTTATACGATTTTTTTTAACATGAACGTACATGTATACAAATACACATTATTTAATTTATTTAATATATTATACATATTTAAATTCAGATTTGTTTATATTGAAACAAACAAAAAACCCATTACGATATCAAATTAAGAATTCTCATTGATTATGTTAATTATCAGGTCAATATACTGGAAAGGCTTACATGTCATATGGAGATGGGGATTACTTCTTAAGTGGGGATGATGTTACAAGCGGACCTCTAAGATCCCCAACAACAGTTTACATTGGTGACGGGTCTGATGGTGGTTTTAATACAGTATTCGTAGGTTTTTTTTTGTCAATAATTACATGTGTTAAAATATTCGTACTCAAAAGGAATAACTATTTATACAAAGTGAACTAAACCTTGCTCCATTTCTAAAGCTTAAAAGGGCACGTAGTAACGGGGTTCCGTCACTTTTTTCATGATACATATCTACTACTGAAAATGTTAATTGAAAGGCTGGTTGCCTTCCGCCTATTTTATGTTGCAGTTTAATCAAATCAGGATAATGTGGTAATGTATGAATAAAATTTTGCTGTGAAAGGTGTTTGAACCTAACCCCCTCCCCTTTAAGCACCAACACGATTGGCTTTTCGAATTTGGAGAATTTTACTTTTTTTTTTTGCTTGTCCAAGTGTTTTTAGCTCACCTGAGCCGAAGGCTCAAGTGAGTTTTTCTGATCACATTTTGTCCGTCGTCCGTCTGTCTGTCTGTCCGTCTGTAAACTTTTCACATTTCCGACTTCTTCTCCAGAACCACTAGGCCAATTTCAACCAAACTTGCCACAAAGCATCCTTGGGTTAAGTAAATTCAAGTTTGTTCAAATGAAGGGCCACACCCTCTTTCAAGGGGAGATAATTAAGAATTAGTGAAAATTTGGTGGTATCTTTTAAAAATTTTCTTCTCAAGAACCACTGGGCTGTAAAAGTTGAAACTTATGTGAGACCTTCATTACATAGTGTAGATTCAAGTTTGTTCAAATCATGACCCCCTGAGGTAGGGTTGGGCCACAATGGGGGATCAAAGTTTTACATAGGAATATATAGGAATAAATCTTTCAAAATCTTCTCCTCAAGAACAACAAAGCCACAATTAGTCATATTGATATGGAATCATCCTCAGGTAGTGTAGATTTAAGTTTCTTCAAATCATGACCCCCAGGGGTAGGGTGGGGCCACAATGGGGGATCAAATTTTTACATAGGAATATATAGGAATAAATCTTTAAAAATCTTCTTCTCAAGAACAACAAAGCCACAATTAGTCATATTGATATGGAATCATCCTCATGTAGTGCAGATTCAAGTTTGTTCAGATCATGACCCCCAGGGTAAGGGTGGGGCCACAATGGGGAATCACAGTTTTACATAAGAATATATAGAAAAAAATCTTTAAAAATCTTCTTCTCAAGAACAACAAAGCCACAATTAGTCATATTGATATGGAATCATCCTCATGTAGTGCAGATTCAAGTTTGTTCAGATCATGACCCCCAGGGTAAGGGTGGGGCCACAATGGGGAATCACAGTTTTACATAAGAATATATAGAAAAAAATCTTTAAAAATCTTCTTCTCAAGAACAACAAAGCCACAATTAGTCATATTGATATGGAATCATCCTCATGTAGTGCAGATTCAAGTTTGTTCAGATCATGACCCCCAGGGTAAGGGTGGGGCCACAATGGGGAATCACAGTTTTACATAAGAATATATAGAAAAAAATCTTTAAAAATCTTCTTCTCAAGAACAACAAAGCCACAATTAGTCATATTGATATGGAATCATCCTCAGGTAGTGCAGATTCAAGTTTGTTCAAATCATGACCCCCGGGGTAGGGTGGGGCCACAATGGGGGATCAAAGTTTAACATAGAAATATGTAGGAAAAATCTTGAAATTGTTTTTCTCAAAAACAAAAAAACCACAATTTGTCATATTGATATGGAATCATCCTCAGGTAGTGTAGATTCAAGCTTATACAAATCATGACCCCCAGGGGTAGGGTGGGGCCACAATGGGGGATCACATACACTTACATACACTTACATAGAAATATATAGGAAAAAATCTTGAAAAATCTTCTTCTCAAGAACAACGAAGTCACAGTTAGTCATATTGATGTGGATTCATCCTCAGGTAGTGCAGTTTCAAGTTTGTATCAAATCATGACCCCTGGGGGTAGGGTGGGGCCACAATGGGTGATTGAAGTTTTACATAGGAATATACAGAAAAAAAAACTTGAAAAATCTTCTTCTCAAGAACAGCAAAGCCTTGTTAAGTCATATTGATATGGAAGCATTCTCAGATAGTGTAGATTTAACTTTGTTCGAATCATGACCCCCAGGGTTAGGATGGGGCCACAATGGGGGATCATAGTTTTACATAGGAATATTTAGGGAAAAAACTTGAACTTGAAAAATCTTCTTCTCAACAACAGCAAAGCCATGTTTTGTCATATTGATGTGGAAGCATCTTCAGGTAGTGTAGATTCAAGCTTGTTCAAATCATAACCCCAGGGGTAGGATGGGGCCACAATGTGGGATCAAATTTTTACATAGGAATATATAGGAAAAAATCTTTTCAACAACAGAAAAGCCATGTTTAGTCATATTGATATGGAAGCATCCTCAGGTAGTGTAGATTCAAGTTTGTTCAAATGATGGGGGGGGGGGTAGGGAGTGTCCACAATGGGGGATCAAATTTTAACAAGGGAATATATAGGGAAAAAATCTTTAAAAATCTTCTGCTCAAGAACAGCAAATCCATTTGTTATATTGATATGGAAGCATCCTCAGGTAGTTCAAAATCCAAGCCCCCCTCCCCCCTTTAAACTTTTCAATACTGAAGTGATTTGTGCTTTTTCCTAGCCAATGTGCTCAGGTGAGCGATGTGGCCCATGGGCCTCTTGTTTTTTTTGGGGGGAGGGGGGTAAATTGTCTCGTTTTTTTCTGACTGCCCTTTTCAAAAATGATCCTACGTGTTAACGTACAAGTTAACTTCTTTTTTTATGCGAAATGGGATTACGATTCCACCTTCGATAAATGATCTCGCTTGGCGACACATCAAACACAACAACTCTTTATATCCTTGAGCTTGGTCGGTGTGACCCCAGTCAAATTTCTATTTTTGCTAAAGGACGCTTGGCTAGTCAAATTCCACCTCCAATAAATGAGGACCTTTCCTGACCAGAGCGGCTCACAGGTGTTGGGGGAGTGGAGATGTTACCAACCTGTATAACATGCAACCAAGACAGTCACAATTCAGCTTTCCACTCTTTACTAAATTAAACAATCAATTTTCAATATTTATAATTACAATAAATAATTTCACACACTATAATACACATTCTAATAAATATTACTACTTATAATATGAAATATTTTATCATCTAAATAAAATGACGCATCTTAAAATATAGTAATTTTTACAAAAAAAAAAAAAAAAACAAAAACAAAAAAAAAAAAACAAAAAAAAAAAAAACAAAAAAAAAACAAAAAAAAAAAAACGCGCAAGTCTACAAAATGATCTCACCTGTATAACATGCAACCAAGACAGTCACAATTCAGCTTTCCACTGAAATCGTGTTTGCCCCGGCCGCCTGTTTTATGCCTGAAGTCGTACATCCCCATATTTGTAATTCCTTCAAAATTTGCAATAACTACTTTTAATTTTAATTTGAATTTTAATTACTATTTAATTACTATTACTCTTTTTTAATTTTTTAATTTCCTAATGCACTTAAAAAATCATTTCCAATCTTTTGCATAATCTTTAAATATTATTTGTTTTAGCTAATTTATACAAACAACTGACCTCTGGTCACTTCAATATGTTTATCTTTATCTTCAGAGCTCGCATCTGTTAACTCTCTCCGCCAAATAGTGCCAATACACCAAAAATATGTCACATTCTTATTTTTATACAATTTTTGTTACGATAATTCCCCCACTATCGAAAATCTTGTCCCCAAGATTTGTTTACAGAGTTTATGATCCGGAATACTTGTCTTGCTGCGAATTTTATTTAAAGCTGAATCTTGAAAATGATAATTAATTATGATATTTGCCCGACTTTACATCTAATTGGAAATTTATTTAAAAATATGTATTTTCAGATGGCTTTACAAAGAATATACACAGATACATATTAGTGTATATATATATATATATATATATATATATATATATATATATATATATATATATATATATATATATATATATATAGTTTAAATACACGCACAATGGTATAGGATTACAATATACACTTTCTAAAAAAAATTACAATATTTAAAGACATCAAAGATACAAAAACAGTATGTACAATTGCCTTGGCTTTTTACCTGGGTAGAGGTTACAACACTCTTTAGAATAGTACAGTAGTAAAAAAAAAACCCCTCAAAAATCGTGATTCACAAAAACAAATGGTTTGACAATTCGTTGAATACAAACGCTCTTACTACAGGTTAAGACACTTTTCGCTAAATAACCACAAAAATATCATTGTCGATGAATTAAACCCTTTTGCTTTTTCACAATTGAAAAAAAAAATGATTCTCACTGCCCCGCAAGGTATACCCTTTTATTCAACGAAATATTTACTACATAAGAATCACAATCCCGTTCAAATGCATATATTCCTACATCTGACGCATAATCTACATTATTTTGTTTGCTTTGAAAAATTCTCATATAGTTATGTCTGTCAATTTTGAAAGGAGGAATGATTCTCGCTATAATAAAGAAAGAATGGAAAATACTTATATCCCTTCCATTACGATACCCTTCCTTTCAACTTGTTTTTTCCTAAACAACCCTCGTTTGTTTGACTAGGAAATCTTGACTTAACTTTCTTAACCTAAATGAATGGTGCGGATTTCCTTCTTTTTATATATATATATATATATTTATATATATTAAGACCATTCCCATTTAGGTTTTTGTTTGTATTTTCTCCCTAGAGTTCGTCTCATGACTTTTAACAAAACTTCATCTCTTTTTTTTGCGTTGTGGTACTTTTGTATTTCTATCATTATGCATCAACAATCCTATTATCAGGTAACTCATCAAATTTTGCCTATGTTAAAAAATTTGTCAACAATACGACAACATTCGAGTACCATCGTCTGAGAATTTTTCTAGTATAATAGAGGTAGACATTTTTGAAAAAAAATGCTGTCCTACTTGTACTATTATTATAATTTTCAAAGTCTTTGGACTAAAATATAAATTTGTCCCCCTTGAAGTTCTGTTCCTTACTGGGGTGGCCCAGGAAGTTGTACCACGAACATTTTTGTTCCTCGGAAGACGAGTCATTTCTGTGTCTCGGACGCCCCTGCTCCGGCAATGTTCCAACTGTTGGATAGATCGTCTTTCTGGCACGAGAGTAAGTGACAGACGTAGGGAACGTATGATTAGCACGGGAGTTTTTAACGTGTGTATAGCTTGCTGCAGTAGACTTGTGGTCGAAATTGGCTTGTCAAGATTTAGTGTTGGTTTTGCCGAGTGTGTATCCGGTCTTTTCCAAAATGCCTCGTCGGTCGTCTGACGGCTCTGATGTTGCGTCAATGGTTCTTGATTTTATTTCTGGTCCTTGTACGTGATAGAGTTCTATGTCCTAAATACCAGTGGGATCGTCGTTTGATCCACGTCTCTCCACCACTTATCATAAAAGGGCAGAGTTGGAGGGACTCAGGTCAAATTTCTATTTTTGCTAAAGGAAGCTTGGCTAGTCAAATTCCACCTCCAATAAATGAGGACCTTTCCTGACCAGAGCGACTCACTGGTGTTTGGGGAGTGGAGAGGTTACCCAACCTGTATAACATGCAACCAAGACAGTCACAATTCAGCTTTCCACTCTTTTGCTAAATTAAACAATCCATTTTCAATATTTATAATTACAATAATTAATTTCACACACTATACTAAATATTCTAATAAATATTACTACTTATAATATGAAATATAACATCATCTAAATAAAATGAGCCATCTGAAAATATAATAATTTTACCAAAAAAAAAAAAAAAAACAAAACAAAAACAAAAACAAAAAACGCACAAGTCTACAAAATGATCTCACCTGTATAAAATGCAACCAAGACAGTCACAATTCAGCTTTCCACTGAAATCGTGTTTGCCCCGGCCGCCTGTTTTATGTCTGAAGTCGTACATCCCAATATTTGTTATTCCTTCAAAATTTGCAATAACTACTTTTAATTTTAATTTGAATTTTAATTACTATTTAATTACTATTACTCTTTTTTAATTTTTTAACTTTTTAATTTCCTAATGCACTTAAAAAATCATTTCCAATCTTTTGCATAATCTTTAAATATTATTTGTTGTAGCTAATTTATAAACACAACCGACCTCTGGTTACTTCAATACTATTGGTTGCCCCTTCACCCTAACCAAATACATCTTTTGATAAACAAGTAAACAACCGCATTTTAATGAATCACTTTCTTGGAACCGTACAGGTCAAACCCTAGTGGCCAGCATCTATGTTTATTTTTGTCTTCAGAGCTCGCATCTGTTAACTCTCTCCGCCAAATAGTGCCAATACACCAAAAATATGTCACATTCTTATTTTTATGCAATTTTTGTTACGATAAAACACTGATGCCCCCGTATGACAGCTCATGGCGAAGATTCAAGTTTCTCAAATGCAAGTCATGCTCCCAAGGTCAAGGTAAACAAATCAAAATTGTTGGTACCCAAGAAAAGGTCTTGTCACAAGAAAAACACGTGTGGAATATGAAAGCCCTAGCACCAACTATTCAAATGTTATGGTCTAGGTTAAGTTTTTCAAATGAAGGTCAAACTCAAATGTCAAGGTCAAAGGGTCAAAATTGTTGATATACCCAAGGGAAGGACTTGTCACAAGGAATACACATGTGAAATATGAAAGCCTTAGTACTAACCGTTCGAAAGTTATGGCCAAGATTACAGTTTTTCAAAAGTAGGTCAAACTCAAAGGTCAAGGTCAAGAGGTCAACATTGTGTGTACCTAAGGAAAGGTCTTATTACAAGAAATACACATATGAAGTATGAAAGCCCTAGTACCAAACATTCAAAAGCTACGTCAAGGTTAAAGTGTGGTAAAATTTTGCTGATGTGGGTCAAACTACAAGGAGGTCAAATATGTTGGTACCCAAAGAAAGGTCTTTTCACAAGGAATACACATGTGAAATATGAAAGCCATAGGTTTAACCAATCAAAAGTTATGGCCAAAATTAAAGATTTTGCGGATATACAGACAGATGGACGGATAGGGGCAAAAACTATATGCCCCAGAATCTCGATTACAGGGTCATAAAAAAAATCACTGAGAACAAATAGAACTACAGACATAAATATTATACATGTATTTATGTCACTATCACATCACGAGTGTAAAAATAACTAAGTCACATTGTCGTTCGTACATGTACCTGTTGCTAAACAAATCAGCTGTTACATGTATCGGCAGCGTTGACAAGGGAGAGAAACGTACCTCTCACCTCAGTAACATCAAATTTTTAATTCCACCTCCTGCTACTCTATCCCGATTTGTACTCGTACAAGAAATAGCCTCGGTTAACGTCCTTTTACTATTTGTATACCTCGGATTCTTACCTCCTAAGGTCATTTTTTAAAGAGCTAGTTCCGACTGAGACTTGGGTCACTGTTGGATGCAGTGTACCGGTATATTATTCATGAAATAAATTGTAAAGAAGTTATTCTCAGGTACGAACGTATTTGCATGAGGTAAAATAGTCACCAGAAAATCGTAAAATTACCTTTATTGTAATGGGAAAGGTAAAGATAAAGAACAGTGATCAAACTCAGAAAAATCTATAAATCTGTGAACAGGGCATAAAACACAGATCCCTATGAATTCCAGAGGAGGTTTCAATATGCATCGGTGTTCATTAATCAATAGCATCATTATTTCAATTTATACAAGAATTATTTTCGATTTGACTTCAAATTAATTTTGCAGATTGTTATTTAGAAAATGAAAATTTAACTTTCACCAATTTTGTTTCGTCAATATCAGCGGCGAGAATTTTTACAATGGATGCTAGATATTACGCGGCGCTAAGTCAAAAGTATCTCGCCCTGAACCTCTAGCATGCCGGAGTACTTCGTCTTGTAACAAATCAGAGCAAATCTAGTGTCGTCGGTATACTACATGTACTTTATTTTTAAAGCATTTGTCTTTAACTGTTAAATCATACAAAAACTAAACATAGAAACTCATCGAACAACAAATATCGTAAAAACAATCAATTAGACTTCAGACGACAGAGAAGTTTTGCTCAGATTCTTCTCTGACATTAAAGACAAATGCTTTAAAAATAAAGTATATATATATTCGATGAATTTTTTTGTTTAGTTTTTGTATGATTTAACAATTAAAGATGAGTTTTAACGATGTTTCTCTGAATTACAGTGTACGTTTTATTACCACATCACGGCGTATTGTTACTCAATAGAGAAATAACGGATTGTATAGAGGCTTCAAAGAGAAATATTTTTAAAACATAGTTAATTGATGAAGGATTAATTAATTAATAAGGATTAAATGGTGTTCTTTCAAGAATTAATGTGTTAACTCGTGCCTTCAGGCTTTGTACTCACCCACTTAACAGAAAAAGGAGTTTTGCACTTTTATTCAGTTTACACATATATAAATTCTGGAATAAAAGAGCCTTTTATCCTATCATAGATAAACTAATTTAAAAATTGAAACCTTTTCATATGTTACCATATTGTAATGCCGCCGTAATTGAAAATCGAAGGAATATAGTTTTTGCTCTCCGCCCGTCTGTAAGTCTAGCTGTCAGTTTGTTCGCAAAACTTTAATCTTGTCCATACATTTTGAATGGTTGGAGCTAAAGCTTTCATAATTCATATGTGTATTTCTTGTGACAAGACCTTTTAAAATCTTTGGGTATCAATACCTTGCGGAAACATTGGAGTTTGACCCAATTTTGCAGAATTTTAACACATTTTTTCCTTTGCCAAAACTTTTAAATACTTTGTGCTAAGGTTTTTATTCTTCAAATGTGCATTCCTTGTGATAAGTCTTTTTCTTGGGTACAAATGTTTGACCTGCCTTTGAAAAACTTAAACATTTTCCATACACTTTGAATGGCTGGAGCTAAGGTTTTTATATGTCAATTATGTATTCCTTGTGACAAGATCTTCCCTTGGGTATCAATAATTTTGACCCTTTGATCTTCACCTTGGAGTTTGACACACTTTTGAAAAACGTTAACCTTGCCTATAACATTTGAATGCATGATGCTAGGGCTTTTATATTTCATAGGTGTTATCCTTGTGACAGGACATATTCTTAAAAATCAATATGTTTGACCTACATTAAAAAAACTTTTACCTTCTCCATGATGATAGATTTGATTAGCTGCTGCAAGGGCTTTCATATTACAAATGCGTATTCCTTGTGACAAGACCTTCCCATGAGTACCAACATTTTTTGTCTCTTGACCTCTAAGTTTGGCTTGCATTTCAGAAACTTTGAACTTGGCATTGAGCTACCATACGTTTCACAAACACATCTTGTTTGCCATCGACTTCAGTCAGCCTATTTCTTCTCCATCCTATTTATGCGACTTTTGATTTTTCTCAAATTACCAGGACTGTACTTATTTTTTTTTGTATCTTTATGATTAATGTTCAATTCTATGTTACACGTTAAAAAAAATTATGTTATTAAAATTGATTTAATGAAATTCTTCATTCGGTTTTATATTCATTTAGATTGGTTCAAATGGCGTAATAGGACTTGGAGATAAGTTTAACAGCATTGTGGTACATGAAATGGATTCTAAAAAAGTGAAGGAAAAACAAATCATTTGCCCATTTTGGACTGATTTGCTGTCAGTAAACGAAAGTGGAAAAGTGTACTACAACACATATAGAAGGTACCTACATCTAAATTGTATTTGAATTTTAACATTGTTGATCAGTTAATTAAAACCTATTTTAAATACATCTTTAAAGAAAATATTTAATAACATAGCCCCAAAAACGTTTTAAAAAGTTTAATGAATCCAAAGCGTTAAAATATATTTTTAACACCAATCCTGGAATGTCATCAATATACATGTACTTTTAATTAACAGTAATCTTTAGATTAGTCCAAATATTGAGAAAGTCCAAAAAGGTTGTAAATTGAAAAATAAGACCAAAGAGTTTGAGAGCAAAATGACATGTCTAGAGCCAGAGTCAAAAGTTAAGGGCTCAGGCAAAAGTTTTTCCAGCAAACAGGTATATTATGTTTGTGCTCAGAGGGTATTCATGGTCCTAGATATAAAAATTCTTTTCATTGGCTGTTTTACCATCACCTTGCTATCTACGCTTTTCCGTAGTTTTTGTCCATTGGCCATGAACCTCAAAATTGCACAACCCTCCAATCAAGGTATCCTAAGATTGATATATTTATGGACACAAATCCCATCACAATATAAATAGGCCTGGCCTTAAACTCTATTACTAATCTACTTCAAAGTTTCCAATTTTATTGCTCATTTTTTAAATATCTGAATAGTTTCTTTGCATGTCCTTTCAAATTTTATTATTTACATGTAGTAATTAAGGGTTCGATAGGTCTAGTCTCGACAATTTCATTACAAAGCAATTATTTACCAAAAATATAGTTGATTTTACCGACATCATTAATCCTGAATTTATAACTTGTACATGTATTTATTTTACTGACACTAATCGGTTCAAATTAATAACATTACATCCATCATTACCACTTAAGAATATGAATTCGAAGTTGAAATATCCGTTTCTAAACACTATAGGTTTACACAATTCTCTTGCCTTAAAACCTATCCAAAGAAAACTATGACATACTATGTAGTTCAAATCTCTGTTCCCTTGGACTTTCAGTAAGGCGTGGCATTCTCGACGCTACATAATTAAAGTCTCTAAAATTGTGACCTAGATTCTCATTGGTCGCTAGCTTATCAATATTAGTAATATAGCACAAAACAAGAACGATGATGTCAGTTTGAATTATTTTCACACAGGTAGAGGAAAGAAAACGAGAAATTGTGGAGCGGTGTTCATTTTTTCCTTGTGTTGTCAAGTTTACTAAAAATAAGCATGAGTGGATACTAGTACTTAAAATTCCTACGAACTTTTAGATAATTTAAAATCACTAAATTTTACCCATATCAATAACATTAAAACGTACGATTTTGCAACAATTTATACAACCATTCCCCACGATAAATTAAAGAATATTTTCTAAAACGAAGCAAGCAATTGACAAACAAGTTGATGAAACAAGGAGATCAACAGTCTCCTTTAAAGTCAGCATTTTGAAAATTCTGTGGTCGATACAAACTCCTTGTCAGCAAATGCAAACTATCATTAAGTCGAATGCTGACTTTTTCATACAAATTGTAAGGCCATTATTTACACACTGAATTGTCTACGGATTTTTTCGTTTGTCTGATCATGACAAGGAGCACACAGCGGGTGTGACCGGTCGATAAGGAATGCTTACTCCTCCATGGACCCAATTCCGCCTCTGATGTTTTTAGAGGTCCATATTTGCTTTGCTCCCGTCTTGTATTGTTTCAATGGAACTTTGAGCTTTATTACTGTTCGTTATCTCCACATTTCATTGTATATTATGCAATGGTTCATCTTTATAGGGGAATCCAGGGAGATAATATAGACTCCATGTTCATGGAAAAAGCAGATGGTATTGTTAAGAAACATTTCAGAGATTTGAGAAATTTCAAAGCGACATGGCTTGTTAAGGTTACATGGGAGAACATGACTTTATATGGTTATGAAACAAAGGTACTAATTTGAACCGTTTTTCCTAGAGATATACTGATCAATATTTATTAAGAATTTAAAAAAAAGTAATAATTTTTCTTTAATTTTTTCATTTCCAAAATTTACTTTGTAATCTTCCTCCCTGCCCACTCTCTCTCTCTCTCTCTCTCTCTCTCTCTCTCTCTCTCTCTCTCTCTCTGTTTAAATATGTATATACCAATACACGTTTTCTCTTAGATGCTTGAGATTTCTTAACCTTATTTTAATCTTTTTTCAGAAAGTCACATTTCAATGCTTCCTTATCACAGACGGAGAGAATACCTTTACAGTTATTAATTATGTGGATGTAGATTTAAAACCAATTAGAAACAGAAAGATTTCCATTGGATATCGCTACAAACAATTCTTTGCCAAAAACTCTTTCACCAACCGTAAAGGAGCTTTTCGAATGAGCGTGAACCCAGGAAATAGAGGTATTTTAGTTAAAACGGGGGAAAAGTAGTAAAAAAGTATGGAACATCGGAGTTGCAACATCATCTCATTTCATATTTTTAAATTTTGATAGACAGCTATGTATAACGAACTATGACGTAAAGTTTAAAGAAGACATTTTATTGTTTATATTTTTATCTTTATAAATAATCGAATGAACTTCAAGTTGATTTTAGAAAATAAAATATATCATTTCAATATTCTGAAAAAGGATTTGTATTAATTACAACGATTTCTGCTAGTTAACGTCACTATAGGTAACGAGTTTTTGTCTACGTGGAAAATGTAAAACATGGCAAACATGGCAACTTAAGGTCATGTTTACAAATACATGTAGTTATTTTTTATGATTTTTTTTCACAGGAGAACGTGGTTTCTGGATTTACAAAATGACAAAAGGTGTGAAATCAAAGCGAGACGAAAAGGAATGTTTCCTATGGTATTACAATAATATCGAAAGTCATATACTACAGAAAATATCGTCCGTATTAAATAACATTGAATGTCCCTGTGATCCTCGCCTTCTGAAGTTTGATCCCCGATACACCATCAATAGGTTTGACAGCTTAAACAGAATGTTGTGTTATGCTTCAATGACACTCAGCATGAATTTGGTAAGACCGAAGTTCTACCCAAGATATGAAATTGAGACGAGATAATTTTAATAAAAAGAAATCTCTGATTTATCTAATGATCTCTCATCTGCTTGTGTATGAATTTGGTATGAAATTTGATTAAAGTGTTGTTGTGTGTGTTAGGAATGCTGCTACAAGATGTATGCCGATACAGAACATTTAGGACCCTTAGATCAGTCCATACCTTTAGCAGGGACAGTTCTGCAATACAATCCCTTTTTTGAAAGATACAAATACACAAACTTTGATCTTAAACCAAGAAATCAGTGCTGCAAGACAGGTCATTGTGATTGGTATTATGAAGTTCGTCCAATTCCACGTTGCTATCTGAGATCACCTTTCCAACCTGGTAATTTGGTTATTTATTTTTAAAATAATAATGTATTAAAAATATTATTTATACTAGTACTTTTATTGTACAGAGTAGGAACATAGAATTCTTATATGTATCACGTATTATTCCGAGCAAAACTTCACTATATATGGCTTATCATATTGTACTAATTAAACTCTTGCTTATGAAAGTTTATTCTTCATGTGAATTACTAATATTACACTTGTATATATTTTGATACTTTTGATTGATATTGTTGTATGATACTTTGATATTTTAACTCAAAACTTAAATTTAACATGAAGTTTTAGTATAGATAGTTTTCATATGACGTATTTTCTCTCCGGGTTATTTCCCTTGGCCGCCATCTTGGTGGTCAACCTGGTAATTTTTCCTCTTTGTCTTACCAAATCTAAGAGGATGTAGCAGAAATATTTGGGGGGAAATCTTTATAGAATAAAAATAATGAAATAAAAGAGGCTTTAACAAATGTATATTTTTCAGAAAAATAATGCTTTCTACCCCACAATGGCCAGTATAAAAAGTTAAAGTTGGTTGAATAATGAAGTAATATGAGCATGTTGCCCCCTAATATGGCGGCCAACGGGAAATAACTCTTGCTAATTTGGGCCTACTGAAAACTATCTATAGGCTGCGGAATATTTTGGAGTATATATGTATAAGGCGGTAAATTTTCCGAATTCCATATTTTTGAAGATAAACACGTGTTTAATCATAATATGTATATATCAAGAAATTCAATCCGAATTTTTCTAGTTATAATATTAATATTTACAATCTATTCGTCATTTTTCCTGTACCTTTTCTTAATAACATGTTGTAAGAATACAATTTTCTGTTTTTTAAGCGTCAGCCAATATTTCAGAAGTTTTATTTTCTTTAAATATGACAAGGAAATCTACCTAATTTAAAGTAAACAGCTTGTCACTGGCATTCTTCTTTATCCTATTTTTTTTCCCACAGAACAGTCTATGATCTTTTTCGGTATAACTCCATTTGTTAAAATCCCATACTTCGGAAGCATACAAAAGTACACTGTTGATACAGGTGCCGAAAACAGAACATCTTGTTGGAATATTTCATTTACTAATAACGCTATGAAAGAGATTTTCTCCCTGTTCTGCCGGCAAGAAATATTTGAACATTTTGTCCCATTTTGACTATCACATTTTTGACCAGCCGATTGCAAGTAACTCGAGCTCTAACCAATTATCTCTCAAGATTGAAGGTAATTATACTTTGATAAATTAGTTTACGTACATGTCCTTTTTTACAATTAATTTTGTCACACATTTCTTTTTATAAATAACTATATACAGGAATTAACTTTGGAGATCCACATATTACTACACTTGATGGCAAAGACTACACATTTAATGGTTACGGTGAATATACCATGATGAAAATAAATACCAGCACAACGACATTTGACCTTCAGGCCCGAACAGAGCTTGCTACATCAGAAAATGGAACATCTATTAATGCTACAATATTTAGTGCCTTTGTGGCCCGAGACCAAACAGGTTCAAAAGTACAGATCGAAATGTCTCGTGACAAAAAGAGTAAGCATCTGTAATACATGTAAACTCATTATGTAAAATTAAATAATTAAAAAAAACATAGTTTAAATGTTGCAAATTTGATTTCCTTTTTTAAAATAATTTTCAACAACACTTACTATAATTGTTTCAGGAATGATAATTCGAGGAAACGGAGTGGACCTGACAACAAAATTTATGAATGCTAGCTATGTTTTCCGAACACCAAACATATCTATTCTATGGGAAAATCGAACAATATCGGCAACATTTCTCATACCCTGTAAGTGTAATGTTATGTGGTTGTCTGTCATTTTTTGTGTCGCCTGCAGAGCAAAGGCCTAGAGATGTTCTCTACTTGACGGAAAACCCATGTGATTTTCCGATTGTTACATGAATATTTTCTTTTAAAAAGAATAAAAGAGGATCGGTATACCGAATTTTGATAGTGAATCTCGGGAATTGATAAATTAATTTACATAAAAAAATCTAATAAAATTTCCTCGACTTGACAGAAAAGGTCGATTGTTCTAGACTTAACGGAAAAGCCTGTGTGTTGTTCCGTTAGTTCAGGGTCGGTATACTGACTTGGGCTCGTGAATCTCGGGGGATTGCTGAAATAAACACATATGAATGGGTGATAATTTTTTATAAATTAAATTTTGATTATTCATTATAACTTGAATTTATATTGATTGTTACTTTTAAAATATGTATTATTTATCGTTGTCCAATGGATTTTTCCCCCTCTGCTTTAGCTTTAATTTTAGTATACATGTAATATTAAAAAAAAAAATAGATGACCACCCTTTTTTTATTTATGTGTCTTTAATGATGCTATAGCAGCGACACATGCGTTTCTTTGAACGCTCTAGTTTGTTATCGTAGTCTGTCGAAAGCTTTATGCATTCACAAAATGTTTCAGTTATAACGATGAAAATAAGTCTCGGAAAACGTTTCCTGATTTGTGAGACGCTGGTTAACGACAAACACAAAGGGCTTACGATAGGCCTGATGGGGAACTTTGATGGAAACAAGACGAACGACTTCATTCTTCCAAACGGAACAGTATTAGGAGGAAATGCGACGAACACTGAACGGAAAATTTACTACAATTTTGGACAACTTTGTAAGACATTTTTATTGAAAACAATGTTGAAATTTATCTTCTTGATGTTGATATTGTTTTAACTTTTGTTTTATTTCTTCCAAGGGTCTGTTAACGAACAGTCTCTATTTCAATATGAGGATGGATTTACATACAAAAATTTCACTCATCCCGAATTTGTGCCACTTTTTACTGATGAGGTTGATGAAAACCAATTGAAGGAAGCTAAACAAAAATGTGGATCAAACCCTTCGGAAGCTTGTGTATCAGATTACCTTGCAACAGGAGACATTGGTTTAGCTGAAACATCTGGGAACAAGGACAAGAATTCGAAATCAGATGTTGAGGTCATAGGTAAGACAAGAGATATATGTAGAGGAAATCTTATACCACAACTCTCACTGTTCGTCATTTTAAATGAAAAGAAAAAAAATTTTCTCCTAGACCCATTTCAAAATTTAGAATTCTGTAAAAAGTTGAATTTTCTTCATTTCAGAAAATAAAACACCACAAATATCGGGAAATACTACAATAAATGTCGAAGTCAACAAAGAAATCGAATTAATATTTAATGCTTCCGACGATGGTAAAGAGAGACCCACATATAAACTTTTAAAACAACCGGACAATTTCGTTTTTGACGATGAAACTGGAATAGCAAGATGGATACCCCGCAACACCAATGTCTCTGAAATCAGGTAAGATGGATGACAACATTGAGTACTCGATTTAAAAAAAAATTCTTCCTTTACTAGCTGATAGTTCATCAGGCTTTTAATGCATTGTTATTGTTAATGTTCATTAGTACTCATAGTTTTTCTTCGGAGAAGTTTCGAAACCAATCTTACTTTAGTAAACAACCGTTAATCATGTACTTTTACAAAATAACTTTTATTGCTTATTTAGGGAGAGAAAGAATAAATATTTATGAAAATAGTGAATCAATGCACGTTTATGCTGATATTAATCTCGTTTTTTTTTTAGTTTCTACTGAAGAACAAGGAAGACTTCTTCTGTAATTTCAACTAACTCTCTCTGCATCTTTTTTTTAATTTTAGTATTATAGCAATAGATGGCATGGGCGCTCAGTCTCCTTCATTAGACATCTCTATAATCTCGTGCACTGGGTGTAGTGACCAAGGGGTTTGTAATTATGAGAGTGTCATATCTACAGAAAACGACCGATTTCACAGAGCTGTCTGTAGCTGTTATATTGGATATTCCGGTAATTACAAATTGGTTCATATTTTTTACTTTGTTTTTGTTTTACTATGAAAATTTAAATGCGTATAGAATCACTCTTATTTCAATTATCATTAAAAATATAATTCTTGCTCGCTCAGTCCTCCAACATGTTTTAAATTATCTGTTGTATAATATCCTTGTTTAATACTAAGATATTCCACACTACCAAGCAGAAGTCTATTTTCTTGTATCTGGCTTTATAGGAGAGAACTGTGAGAAGGATACAGACGGCTGCCTTGATAGTCCTTGTCCCCTGGATAGAAACTGCACTGATCTGACCCCAGTAGAAGAGGTTAGACTAGGTCGTGGATACAACTGCTCAGAATGCCCACCTGGTTATAAAGATATTGACAATAAATGTCAAGGTAAATAGCTTATATTCTTATTTGAATTCAGACAAAGAACCTTTCGAATGTATCCGTAAAAGGTGCAAACATTTGCTAATAGATGTATATTTAATTACTGTAAACCAACTTTTATTCGCGTGCAAGAAATTTTCGCGAGGTTCGCGAGAGCCTCGTCATCGCGAATATTTCTCGCCGCGAACCGGTCCTTAAAGTCTCTCTTTCTATTAACAACGGATAAAAAAAAATGCTTGATCGCGAAAATTAATCGTCGCGAACTAGTTTACCCTCGGTAAATCGCGAAATAAAGTCGTCGCGAATAAAAGTTGGTTTACAGTAATTGTTTTTCTCTTTCATATAAACCTTTGTGCGAAAAGATTAAGGATGTAAGCAAACTTTAAGATAATGTATGCTTGCCCTCTCCCGACTCAGGATGAGAAAACTGAGTCGGTGGGTAGGTGAGAATTTTTTTTTTTTTTTTAAAAATTTAAAATCAATTTTGAATTTTCAAAATCTATTTTCCGGAATGCATAAAAAATGCTTCCTAGAGGTTAAAGAAAGTTTTGAGTCGGTCCAATTTTAGCCAGTCGGTTGGGAGAGGGCAACCAAACAATTTTTTAAAGATGGCCAAAATCATTATTTTTCAAATGCGTAAAATTACGATATTTGTTATATTTTAAAAATAAAAAAGGACAAAAACACAATGCACTAAATAGAAAAATTAGAATTTATACTCGAAAGAACGTTTTGCACTTAAACTGGCATATCATATTTCATGTTAAAATGGATGATTGAAGATGTTGACGAATGTGCCACTGCTGAACTAAATAAATGTGACGATACCAAAGAAACTTGCGAAAATATAGATGGGAGTTATATTTGTAACTGCAATAATGGATACAGGAAATTGGACGAAGAATGCAATGGTATGTTAATGTGAGGAGTGAGGAGATGTACTAAGTATTTGGTCAAAGGAACCAGGGGATCTCTTTTCAAACTAGCGGCCATATTCGATATGATAAATCCTCAAATGTTTACAATGCTAATCTATTAAATAATAGATTACACAGTGTAATTAAAAGAAGTCAAAGAATTGTTTTAAAGTCATGAAGTTGGTCCCTTTGGACAGATTATGACCTCAGTACATGTAACATGTGTGATTGCGGAAGTCGTGTAATATATTGAACAAGATGAAATAATTCACCTCGATACTTTCAGTGTTTATATATCAACTTTGGTAAACGATGCTTAGAAAATTTAAAAAAAGATTAAATTCGTCAAGTAAATACATGTATATATTTTTTTTAATTAAGATACAAAATACAATTCCTTTTTATTGATGCACATACGTATTTAAATGTTTTTATTCTTTTTTATTCTAGATATCAACGAGTGTCTGGAGGGATTGTCTGGGTGTGAACATCTCTGTACAAACACTCCAGGATCTTTTAATTGTATGTGTCACCCAGGGTTTAATCTAAATAAGGACAACGTTACTTGCAATAAAAAAGGTATCATGCTCTCTTTTTTCCTTCTAGAAGAAAACACTTTCAAATTAGATTCAAAGAACAATTTTAAAATTTTAAAGTTTAATATATTTTGGTATTGATTAAATTGATTGAAACTATACATTTTAGCCAAATTGGACAAAAATATTTCGTATGAATCTTTTTTCACACTTTTTTAGATGTTGAAATCTGTAAAAAATCTGAGATGCAATGTGAATACGCATGCAGTAATATAGATGGAATCAACCAATGTATCTGTCCTTCTGGGTATAGGTTAACAAGTAATAACAAAAACTGCACAGGTATATATTATATGATGCACTTTAAAAAAACAAAACCATTTATTAAGAATTTTTTCATAAATATTCTCTTAAGTAAATTTAAACAGGTAGAAACACCCATATAGATCACGCATGATAATTTTTCCAGTTGTTAACATCATTTATGTCAAATTAGTTTGAAATGCCAAAGATTCTTATTTCAGATATTGACGAATGTGCACTTAAAACTTCTCCATGTGAACAAGATTGCATTAACATCAATGGATCATTTCAATGTGCATGCCGTCCTGGATTCAGTTTAAAAGCCGATAAAACATCTTGTTCAAGTAAATTTATAAAAATGCATATAATTAAAATCTATTTAAAAAAACTTATTTGTTATTACAAAATAATTAAATACAAAGTGAAAATACCAATCTCACAAGTGAGTTTTTTCAAATAATTTCAAGGTCGACATTAATTCAATTTAACTATCGCAAATAAGCATTGTCTTTTGCTTGTGAAAATTACTAATTTCTTCATTTAAGTCATGATCTGGTATAATATATAATTATTATGATAAATGAATATGTGACTTTATTTCTTCTCACATAATACATTGTATCATTAACTTACAATTATACTACTAATCACAAACTCCTTACAAAAATGTTTACAGTATAACTTAACATTTTAATTAAATCTTTATTATTTCAAAGAATATGTTTTGCATTATGATATTAATTTCGGAACCTTAAATTTCCATTTCGTATCAAGATAGTGTGTTTTCTGTTTTTGTTTATCTCTTAAATAACGCTTTTAGGCAAAGAAAACGTTGATCGATCTACACACACACACACACACACACACACACACAGAGAGAGAGAGAGAGAGAGAGAGAGAGAGAGAGAGGTGTCTTACACTTGTCTAACACTTACAAAATTTTTGATTTTAAACACTTCTATGTTTATAGGATGTGAGCAACCAAACTACGGTGAAAACTGTTCACAAATGTGTACATGTGGTCCAGGTGTAGACAGGTGTGATCCAGTTCGTGGATGTGTTTGTAGTTCGGGATGGACAGGGAAGAACTGCAGTAAAGACATTGATGAATGCCACCAAAATCCAACCATATGCGGAATCAATAAATTATGCAAAAACACAGAAGGTTCATTCGAATGCCTTTGTGAACATGGGTTACAAGCCTTTGGAGATAACTGTAGAGGTTTGTTCTGCTCAATCGCTTCCTTTAAATAAATTTCGTTGCAAAATAAAGTTTGAGAAACTGAAATCGAAATCACTTTTGCATGTAATAGTTTTTTTCTGTGGTACTATTGAAGATCTTATTAAAGCACTATTTATGTAGATAATACATTATTCTGCCATCACTAGTAGTGTTAATTTTTGGATTTCTAAGATAATACAGTTGTATAATTTGGTCAACAGAATGATATATTTTTAGATAAATTATATTCATGTAGATAAAAGCTTAAGAATGGAGTTTATACAAGTGGTTAATTTCTTCTTTTAAGACATTGATGAGTGTCAGGATGCATCACTGAATGACTGTCCACAGGACACAACAGATTGTTCTAACACCTTTGGTAATTTCACATGCGAATGTAAGAAGGGGTTTCAGAAGAAAAACAATGTTTGTGAAGGTATTTATTTTCTTTTCAGTTTTTTTTACACATATGATTATGGATTCAGATGTAAAATGTTCTGTCTCTTTGAGTTCTATAGAGATAATTCAGTTTTATAGCTTCAAAGAATACGTTTCAACAAAGAAAATGTTGAATATCTCTCGGGATATCAAGACAAATGTTAACTGGGAAACTCTACAGAAAGGGATGAATGAAATAGCATCATTTAAGATTTCTTTTACAATGTTTTACGTTCTCTTAACAGATATTGACGAGTGCTCGACATCTCTTCACGGATGCTCCCAACTCTGTGTAAACGTAAATGGTGACTACAACTGTGCTTGTTTCTATGGATTTACTTTAATGGAAGATCGCAAGACCTGTGAAAGAGGTATTTTCCTTCTTGTTTTCATGAATCAAAGGAATGAGAACTTAAGTTTTAAAATATACATGTTTGTTGCTTTTATTTTCAAGAATTTATCATAAAAACTAATGTTAATAGACATTTATTTAAAAAAAACTATTTCTTATAAGACAATCGTCTTTTCTTTTCAATCAAAAAAAAAAAAAAAAAAAAACTTGACTTGCGTACATGTACATGTAACTTTTCTTGGCCAATACCCATTCTCTTAAAAAGAACTGGTATTGTTTATAGAATGAAAATAGTTAATGTAAAGGTTAGATGATTAAGTTTTAAGTCCGTTATTTGGAAGATTAAGTATTTTCATTGGTTACATAAAAGTAAATACACTTTTTGAAGTAAGAAAACCCATAAATATGATTTCCCTATTTAAAAGCCAGAATATTCTTTTATTCTTTTTACATTAAAGAAAAGGACTCTTGTTCCTCCTTCCCGGGATTAAATTGCACCTATGGTTGTAAACGAGATGGAATTGATAAAAATAAAGGAATTTGTTTTTGTGAAAGTGGATACGAACTTGACAAAGACAACAGAACATGCAAAGGTAACACTTATACTTCCACATATATATCATTCAAAAAGCGCGACTCCAAAGTTAATGAAGTTTCAGAAATAATGAATTGTTACTATAAACAATTTTTTAAAAAGTGCTTACAATTTACAGAAGTACAACTTATGACATTTTATCATAATTATATAAATTAATGTATAGTACACGCATGTGATAAGTCAATGAAGGTTTGAAAAAAAAAAACACACATTAGTCCATTTAGGGGAGATATGTTGTGTCATTATGTTGTTATCATTACTCGAAAACAGATATAAAAGGACAACAGGTCAGAATTCAATGCATGCAACATTTGATGAATTTTTGAAACTTTCGGTATCCGATAATGCGTTATTGTTTAAATGATTAAATAACTACTTACTTATTGCAATATGATAGCTATTCAGTTTAGTAAAATAAATGCAGCATGCAACTGTTGAAATTATGAAATGATGAGGAAATTTGATGTTCTTTCTGATTGGTATAGACGATCTTTTCTAATTAGAGTTCACATCAATATTAACTTGAATGGTTTATTCGGGATTTCCATCTACTTACCCAAATGAGCTGGCGTTTTCTGGACCAACGAAATTGCACGTTATAAGCATGTATTGTTTATGAACATGTAGAATGACATTAGACAGGTTCTTCTCATATTATTAGTTTGTCAATAAATTTGTGATGATGTAATATAACACATTGTGTATTAAGTGTTTATACTTGTTGAAAAAAAAATAATACTGTTCAAATTGCATGAAAAATTCCTGATTATTTAATGTAGTAATTATTGCATTTTGATTTCGGTCTAGTAGTATGGACCTGGTCAGATATTTGTTGGTTTTGTATATCATTAATTAACCAAATGAATGAAAACTCTTTCAAGACGCCTCGGATAAGGATTTATTTTGAGGGGAATGTTAGAGTCTGAAATATGTTTTTTTAAAACATATATATTGTAAATTCACTTTCATTGTATTTAGACATTGACGAATGTAAAGAGGTTTCTATCTGCGACCACAATTGTACCAATAAAGAGGGCTCATTTAACTGCAGCTGTGCAATTGGTTACAGACTTGAAAATGATGGCAGATCCTGTAAAGGTAGGTCACGAAAGATAATTTCAGTTTGTGCAAATACATGCATTATTGATGTTTCTTTTTATTTATTGTCCTACCCAATCTGTGACATTGGGTTCATAATACATGTACACGATTTACTAGTACAATGTATAATTATACGTTACCTTCAAAATTAAAAGTACCAAACCCCATTGAAATTTGATCATGTCTGTTTATCAAGTTAAAATTTTAAATGCCATATCAGATTTATTAGGTACATGGGTCTATACATTACCTGACGAACAAATGTTAATTAGATACATTTTGAAAAAGAGGAGAACAGTAGCACTATATAATAAATAAACTGAACATTTTGTAGCATGTGATCAGTATCACTACGGTGAGAACTGCGAGAGACTTTGCCGATGTGGAAGAGGTGCCAATGTATGTGACAACATACAAGGTTGTGTCTGTAAGCCGGGATGGATTGGGGACAACTGTGATGTAGATATCAACGAATGTAAGAACAGTCCTTGTACCGGAGAACATGAGAAATGTCTAAATGCCCCTGGATCCTACCGATGTGATTGTATTGTTGGGTTCAAAAATTATACGGGGGGTTGTGAAGGTAGGTGCACATTGTACATTTTTAAGTTTATGTGAATTAACATATGAATATCTATTCATTGAACTGAGTATTTAATTTGGAGGATGACATATTCTTTTAAATTATTTTTAAATTATCATGTATTATAGTGTCTAAAACCTTTGCTTTATTTGTTTCAGATAGAATCACTCAACGTTTTCTTCTTTTTATGCCCCCGGATCGAAAGATCCCGAGGGTATATTGTTTTTGTCCTGTCTGTCTGTTTGTCTGTTTGTCCGTTTGTCTGTTTGTCTGTTTGTCTGTCTGTCTGTTGTCAACTTTAACCTTGCCCATAACTTTTGATTGGTTGGAGCTACGACTTTCATATTTCACATGTGTATTCCTTGTGACAAGACCTTTCTTTGGGTACCATCATATTTGACCTTTTGACCTTGACCTTGGAGTTTGACCTACTTTTGCAAAATTTTATGAGACTTTAACCTTGGCCATAACTTCTGAACCGTTGGTGCTTGGGGTTTCAAACTTCACATGTGTATTGTTTGTGACAAGGCCTTCCTTTGGATACCAACAATTTTGAACTTTTGACCTTGGAGTTTGACCTACTTTTGAAAAACTTTAACCTTGGCCATAACTTTTGAACAGTTGGTGCTTAGGGTTTCAAACTTCACATGTGTATTCCTTGTGACAAGACCTTCCTCTGGATATCAACCACTTTGACCCTTTGACCTTGACCTAGGAGTTTGACCTACTTTTGAAAAACTTTAACCTTGGCCATAACTTTTGAATGGTTGGAGCTAGGGCTTTCATACTTCACATATGTAATCCTTGCGACAAGACCTTCCTTTGGATATCAACCACCACTTTGACCTTTTGACCTTGACCTAGAAGTTTGACCTACTTCTGAAAAACTTTAACCTTGGCCATAACTTTTGAATGGTTGATGCTAGGGCTTTCATACTTCACATATGTAATCCTTGTGACAAGACCTTCCTTTGGGTACCAACCACTTTGACCTTTTGACCTTGACCTAGGAGTTTGACCTACTTTTGAAAAACTTTAACCTTGGCCATAACTTTTGAATGGTTGGAGCTAGGGCTTTCATACTTCACATATGTAATCCTTGCGACAAGACCTTCCTTGGGATATCAACCACCACTTTGACCTTTTGACCTTGACCTAGAAGTTTGACCTACTTTTGAAAAACTTTAACCTTGGCCATAACTTTTGAATGGTTGATGCTAGGGCTTTCATACTTCACATATGTAATCCTTGTGACAAGACCTTCCTTTGGGTACCAACCACTTTGACCCTTTGACCTTGACCTAGGAGTTTGACCTACTTTTGAAAAACTTTAACCTTGGCCATAACTTTTAAATGGTTGGTGCTAGGGCTTTCATACTTCACATATGTAATCCTTGTGACAAGACCTTCCTTTGGATACCAACAACTTTGACCTTGACCTTGACGTTTGACTTTTATTTAAAATACTTTAACCTTTGCCATAACTTCTGAATAGTTGTATCTAGGTCTTTTAAATTTCACAGGTGTATTCCTCGAGACAAGACCTTTCTTTGGGTATCAACATTTCTTATCTTTTGGCCTGGGTTTTGAATTGCATTTGAAGAAACTTTAACCTTCGCCATAAGCTGCCATACGGGGGCATCAGTGTTTCACAAACACATCTTGTTTTTTTTAACTCTCTATATGTTCTCCCAATATATAATTGAAAAGCATAACATGGGGAATTGATATAAGCCTAGTACTGAATTTTCTGCAGACATAGACGAATGTCAGGAACCTACCTTGTGTCACCAGAAGTGTGAAAATACAGTGGGAAGTTACAGATGTAGCTGTAAAAATGGTTATGAACTGATAAACGAAAAAGATTGCCAGGACATAAACGAATGCAAATCAGCTGATTGTCACCACTGTTCCAATTTTCCTGGAGGCTTTGAATGTTCCTGTAATGAAGGATACCGACTGAACGCAACAACCAAAAATGAGTGCTATAGTTAGTATCGATTTTATAACTTTATAACATATTTAAAATTTTGCAGTTTCATATATATATATATATATATATATATATATATATATATATATATATATATATATATATATATATATATATATATATATATATATATATACTTTAAGAAAAATCCAATTTTTGGTACAGTAAAATCATTTTAACTGTAAGCGCTATCTGCCTTTTAATGGCTCTTCAGACATTTACAAAAATCAATTGTAAAATTGTAACTGTCTGAAGAGCCATTAAAAGGCAGAAATTGCTTACAGTTAAAATGATTATTCGAGTCTTGTGATTCTTGTGTATATATATAAAGCACTAAAAATGACCAACGACATGAACAATAGAAATTGTCAAATTTTCAGGATGCCCTGTCCCTTCCGAAGGACAAAGAAAAAAGTTAATAAGTGATAAGAACAAGGAAACAGAAAAACAAAAAAAAAATCAACTAGCTCTAGTACTTAACTGCTAAACTACTAAACACTATATATTTATAATGTTTCATGTTTTATTTGGAGTTTATAACCAAAAAATATAGTGTTTGGTAGTTTAGTAGTAGTGCTAGTTGATTTTTTGTTATTCCAAACTCTCGGATTAACTTAAATTTGATCACATGATTAAGTATATAAAAGCATATAGACTTCTGTTACTAGGTAAAGATTCTGAAACGCATATCGACTTTTGTTTCTACATATGAAATTAATCTTTTATAAATAAGAATATATTGTCATTATAATAGCTAATATGACTTGATCTTTTTTGGAAAAAAAATACATCGACTCCAACATGATGTCCTGTAATCACTTATTAGGCGAAATACTGCCTTGAATATGAATATTCCTGATAATAAGAGATATATTAGATATATTTTTAATTAAGAATTGATACAAAATATTCGTAATAGAATAAATCTGGTCTTTTTAATTGGTAAATTCCCCCTATTACTCTATCAGTATGAAGGTAACACAGTGGCATTAAACAGTTAACTTTATTTTGATTTCTAGTTTTTATGTGTTTAACTTGTGGTTTGTGTTTATTAATTAAATTTTGTTTTGTCAATCTCTGTAAAGAATAATATAAAAATGTAGCCCTTTCATTCGGAGATCAATCCATAGATATATCGACTTCATAGAAAAGCATATCGACATGGGTCGATATGTTTTCTGTGAAGTTGATATACATCTATCTATGGATCGACCTCATGAAGGCTCTCTCTCTCTCTCTCTATATATATATATTGTATTTTATCCATTTGAATTTTTTTTTAAATTTTCACTCTGAAAAATATTAGGGTTATGAGAAGAATCTCGATTTTCAGTTCCTTCACTGAGAGTATTATAAAAAAAATCCTCGTTGTTACAAGATAGCTAGAGTGAATAAATCAACCTGACAGGGATACTAAAATCGCTGCAGTTTCTCCAAATTGTAGTCAGTACCTTACATATTGACTATTTTCATTCTCACAATCCCTTAGTTATAATGTTTCGCAAGTGCTCAACTCACAGCCTACGACACTGCAGTTAGAAATGACAGAGACAAAAGGAAAATCAAATAAAATGTAATAAACAAAAAAAAAAAATCAATAATTTTAGGCTTGAAAGGAAGTTCATTCACGAGAGAAGATCTTTATATATATATATATATATATATATATATATATATATATATATATATATATATATAAAGCGATTCTGAATTGATAAGATTTTTTGTACCTTTATCTTCTTCGTAGTTATAAAAATATTTTGCTTGCAGTACTTAATTTGCTTAAAACATTATGAAGTAAATGTACCCGTTCATGTTTTGGAGAAATTTATCAGTAGATTATGAGGATAGAATACTCAAGCAGTGCAAAATGAGATCTAGACATGCCGTTTATTCTATTCAAATCTACAATTATATGGTTTAATTTATTTTTCAGATATTGATGAATGTATCGAAGAAATTCACAACTGTTCCAGAAACGCCCTTTGCACTGATAAAAAGGGAAGTTTTAATTGTAACTGTGTAAGGGGATTCGAAGGCAATGGATTTGACTGTACAGGTATTTAACATAAAATATTAGAAAGTGATTATTAATTTATCCTAGAATTAGTTTAAGTGTGTTCAGATATTACTAAAATCTTTCTTCTGACATTAAATATAAAGGTATTTATAAGAAACAATTAATAAATGAAAGATCCAGTCTTTGATTAATTTATTTAAATAATAATTCTGTCTTGTTAAAAATTGTATTTGTATTGTATACTAAACGCTGACACAAATTTTCTCAAGCCTGTCAAAATTTTACCTTTGGGGATCAATGTTCCGACCAATGCAAATGTGTTCCTAGCAAAACGGAAGAATGCGATGCTGTCGATGGCACTTGTCGATGTATCACAGTCTGGACTGGGCCTGATTGCTCAGAGGACGTGGATGAATGCAAGGAAGGAATTCAGAATTGCAGTACAGTTTTATATCAAACCTGTGTTAATACTCCAGGTTCTTCTCATTGTGAATGTCTTTTCGGAGGACAAAATCTCTCTGATTGTATTCGTAAGTGTCCTGCCATATTTAAAATTTGCGTTTTACTGTACATTATAATTGTAAGCTTGAAATCAGAGATAGCTCATCTATTGTTTTGTAGAGCCAAAAGCTTCCCACCAACCCGGTAAGAATTATACTTACACTATCTATATCCGAGCAACGTTTGCATTTTGAATTGGTTATTGCCTTTTTCTTCTTGTTCTGGCCCTTGGGCGATAGCCAGTGCATTTAAATAATGTTTAAAGTCTTTCTTTCTTGAATTAAATAAACTTGTTCTTAGTTTTTTATAAAGACAAAGATTGTGACTATTTGACAGTTTCTCATCTAAAGTAAAAACCCTTTAAAAGTCATAATTTAAGTTATTTTGAAGGATAGATAATAAGTGTCTGGTTACATCTACATATTTGCTGCTATTATTCTCCTGATACAATCTGTATCATTCATATGTTTTTAGATAAAACAGACGTAAAAGTGAAAGTTGAAATCAAATTTGACATCAACAATAGTAGGGAAGACTTCCTGAAAAATAGCCGGAAGTGGCTTACTGAAATCCAAACATCAGTAATACTAATATATTATTCAACAAAATATCAGTAACGTAACATAAGCATAAACATTTTGTGTTATTTATATATGATAAAAACCTTAAAGGTTAATTAATGTGAAATTATATTTCTTAAATTAATCAATATCTGATTTGCTGTTTGTACTCAAATAGCTAGAAAAATTCTACAAGAAAGAAAACATTCGTGGATTTACTGCAGTAGCTGTCCTGTCTATCCGGTAGTAGGACTATTCAATATGTCTTTGATCTTAAACTTTTATTATTTTATTTATTCAATCTACGTGTTTCTCATTCATAATGACCATAAAATTGTAGCTTTGGGAGTATCATTGTTGATTATGAGCTAATTGGTACAAAAACTGAGGAAAATCAGTTAGAAAACGACGTTGCTAACAGCATGACAAGAATGATAAAAGGTAAACGAAAGCCCCAAATCTTGGGACAAGAACCAGACATAATGGAAATAACTATAAAGCAAGAAAATGGAACTTCGAAGGCCAGTAAGTCTGAGTATTGTTATTTCACAAAACTAATACATGTGATGAAATTTCATGACAAGCCTTTCTTTTTAAGAAAATCTTCAACCATTGTATTTCCTTTGTTGTTGAGTATTTTCTAGATTGATTTTCAAAATTTCAATTTAAAGTATTAAGACGTTGAGGGAAGAATCATGACCTAGTCTTTGAATTATTTTTTATATATAGTATGTGTATAGATATTCGAATAATTTTCGTTTTGATAAATAAATCAATTACATTCTAGCTGTATCAACTTCAATGGCGACATCACCTTGCATTTTATTGAACATTCTTAATGCTTGTAAATCTGGACAGAGGTGTGACGATTTATCTGGTGAAGCAACTTGTGTGTAAGTAGAAAATATTCATGAGTTTTTAATTAAAAATATTTTGATTTGTTTTACATCAACAGTGTTATTGAAATTTCGTAACGTTATTTATTACATGAACAACGATTATATATGTGGATAATTTATTTTTGTCTTTTTAGGAAAGAAAAGTCTGATTTATCAGGTAAACGTTACTTTTTTTGTAGATAAAAAATTATGTACGTAAAAATTACTTTTTTAAGGATAAACTCGAGTATATAGTATTTTAATCTTTGATAATTTGCGAAATGTTGATAAGAAGTACTTAGATCTGCGTCAATATCTTCTTCAGATTTTTCGACATACATTGTCCTCCTCGGAGTAAGCATCCCTTTGCTCATTACGGTCATCGTTCTTATATTTATCTGTGTGCGTTATCAAAAGAGGACCGAGAAGAAGAAAATACAACGGTATGTGTTCAGTCATCAACAATATTTAACTCAAAGTGTTGTTTCATTTATGACATTGTTGTAATGTTCGATTTCTTTTCATTCTTCTACAGGTATAAATTGTACGATTTTTGCGTTTTATTGTTATGATAAGAATCCGTAGGAAGCTCCGGCCATTTATTGATTGATAACACTTATCGGAAGTTGTCCGTGTTTAACGTCTGTACCAAAAATTTGTTAAGCTCAGCTGTAAGAACTAGTCTTTATATTTTACATTTTTACATATTTTTAATGTTACCACATGTGTAGATAGTATAATAAAATTTATATATATTCTATGGAGCATGCGGAACTTATCCTAATTTAAAGCCAAACCTAAACAAAAGTATTCCAACCGGTTTATTCCCCGAGCGTCCACTCGCTAAAACAACTATTTAATTATCACACTCAATTAAGAGGCCCTTTAAGGGGTCCAGGTAAAGTTTACCTGTGTTTCCTTGATTTAACAAAGTAGTCTAAATTAAATAATTTAATATTCACTGATAAAATTTTGTACTAAAGCACAGATTTATTGATTAAATATTTGCTATCATTGAAG